CACAATCCTTTTCAACTCAATACCACTTCCCTACTCAGATACAGTCCGTTACCTTGGCTTCCTTCTAGACAAAAGACTAACTTGGAACCCACATACGAGACTTAAAAGACAAGAACTTAACCAACGATATGGCCAGCTATATAGACTACTAAGCAGGACATCTCATCTTTCGATTGAAAATAAACTTTTAATCTACAAGACAATACTGAAACCTATCTGGACCTACGGACTTGAACTGTGGGGAACTGCTAAACATTCGAATATCAAACGCATCCAATCCTTCCAGTCCAAAGTACTTAGAACAATAGCCAATGCCCCATATTATGTCACAAATAAGACCCTACACCATGACCTTAACATCCCTTTTGTCCTCGACATCATCCCATCCAGATTCTCAAACTTTCACCAGAACCTTATCCATCATCCAAATCCTCTAGCTCAATCCCTATCCAGCTCCCACCATCCCTACAATCCCCCTCGAAGGTTAAAACGGCAGTGGCCGCGAGATCTATTGTAAATATGCTTCTGGAGTCCTGGCAATGGCCAGCTTCTCCACTCAAGTCCTGAGCATCTGTGGCTCTAGTGCCCTCCTTCAGCCTCCACTGGCTTTTAATACTAGTGATGCGGCTGGAAAAATGGCACTGGGATCTCTGGAGTCCTGCTTTGCTTTCCACATGTGGGGAGAAAAGCCTGGCTCGGAGATTCCTGGGCGAATGTATATATTGTATATAGGTATGAATGTGTTTAGAAGTTTTTATTTTATTTTGTTTATTTATTTATTTTTTTTTATTTTTTTTTTTATTTTTTTCTATTGATTTACATTTTTTTATAAGTATTATTTATTTACTTTTTATATTTATAGTTACTTCTGTATTACTTGTATATACTGTATGAATGAGAACTTTTAGCCTTAATACTTATAGCCCTCCAACAGTGGCTGATTGTATTATTATTCAATAAAAAAAAAAAAAAAAAAAAAAAAAAAAAATTGAAAGTTGAGACTTTCTGTTCAGTATTGTGTATAGTTGGCCATATCGTCGGTTGAGTTCTTGTATTTTGAGTCTTGTATGTGGGTTCCATGTCAGTCTTCGGTCTAAGAGAAAACCAAGATACCAGACTGTGTCTGAGTAAGGAAGCTGGATGGAATTAAAGTGTACTGGTGGACAGAAATTGCGTCGGAGAGAAAAGGTAATATGCATTTCGACTCATTTACTTTAATGCGCCATTAATCACACCAGTGCTCAATAAGGGAGAGGTGCCTTTGTAGATTTAAGGATGCTTTTTCAGGATCTGAGCTGGATGATAGGATTGCGTTGTCATCAGCAAATGTTGCAAAAAAGGTATCGAAATGAGCAGGGATATCAGCGGTTAAGAGGATGTAATGCACGGGACCCAAGAAGCTGCCCTGGGGAACACCAGTTTTAATTGGATCAATATCGGGACATGCCGATCCACACCGAACTCGAAAGGAGCGGTGAGAGAGATAGCATTCGAAGGATTAGGTAGGTATAAGGACTGAGGGAGATGGATTTTAAGCTTGTAAGCTTGTAGGCCCGGGTTGCCATACCCGGTCAAAAGCCTGTGTTTTGTCTAGAAATGAACCGGAACAGTAATGCTTGTTTTCTAGGGCTGCTGATATATGATCAACGACTCGAAGTCCTTGTTGAACAGTGGAATGTTTTGAGCGAAAACCAAACTGATGGAAATGAAGATTTTGGGATTCTATAAGGGGTAGGAGTCATTTCAAAAGGATCTTTTCAAAGACTTTTGAAAGAATTGGGAGTAGGCTAATTAGTCTACAGGATGTCAAGCTGTTGGGAGGTTTGCCTGGTTTTAGAAAAAGGATAATGCACATACAATCCAATAAACAAAGAAATACACTTGGTGGAGTGTTTCCATAACAGAGGAAAGGAGGTGGTGCGCAGGATGCAATTGTAGATATATGTAAGGAATATGACTGCTTGGGATGGAAATTGTCGAAGGATATGAGGAATAAGGGTTTTGATCAAACTCGGTGTATCATTGTATAATTAAGTGGTCTTTATTATCATTTAGACCTTATCCCCGTTGATGTCACCTTACAGGGCTTAAATGCCCAATGTTCATATATGTCTTCCTCTAAAGTACCTTTAATATGGTTTATTTTAAAAAGTTAACCATTTCGCATTATTCAGAATTACGAAAAAATGCTACATATAACTTTTGAAAGAATTTGATAAGTTAATAAAGGAGAAAAAAAAATGCAGAAAAACCTGCGTTGCTATAGACTGTAGCGCCTAAACGAATGTACCGATTTCAATGAAACTTCGGTAAAGTCATTTTTTCAACACCCTTTAAATTTATCTATATAACATACTTCTACGAAAAGAAGCTGGGAATAAAGTTACGAGGGATCACCACCTCCGGAATCAACTTATTCACTGTCTGCATAGATAACTTTTTCAACTAAAAATATCACTGAAATGACATTACTCAAAAATGTTGAAATTGGAGTTAGTCATTCTGTGATTTATAAAAGCAAAGAAAGTTGTGTGGTTTATAAAAGCAGATGGGGTAACTACATTTTTATTGTCTACCATCGATATAATAAATAGACTTTTTACAATTTTAGTGGTCTTAATGACTTGTTATCTGTAAGCTTTAGCTCCGTTTAAAATGCACTTTTAAAAAAATTTATAATAGCCCAGCATTGCCAGAAAGTAATTGCTATTCAAAGTAAAGTGATAAGTGAAAGTTGTGTGTTGCGTGCATCAGATTTTTTTATATTACACTAGGAAATTCGTCTACGAGGATGAATTTTCTCTTTTCATAAAATAGGCGTTTTGGTAACTTTTTTCCACCATCCAAGGGAGGGCACAACCCCTCGCAGAATTCGATAGTGCTGATCACGATAATAATTTTTTTTCTATTACATTATGAATTCGTCTATGAGGATGAATTCTTCCTATATTTCTCTTTTCTTTGAATAGCTGCTTTTAGGAACTTTTTCCTCCATCCAAGGTAGGGTGCGCCCCCTGGAAGAATTCGCTAGTGCTGGCCACAGTAATAAATTTTTATATTACATTAGGAAATTCGTCTACGAGGATGAATTTTCTCAATATTTCTCTTTTCTTAAAATAGGCGTTTTTGGAACTTTTTGAGGATTTTTTTTTCCATCATCCAAGGGAGGGTGCACACCCCATGGCAGAATTCCCTAGTGCTGGTCATGATAATTTTTTTTCTATTACATTAAGAATTCGTCTATGAGGATGAATTTTCTCTGTTTCTCTTTTCTTGAAATAAGTGTTTTTGTAACTTTTTTAGAATATTTTTTCCAGGTTCCAGGAGGGGGGAGTGTTTTACCAGGGGCCCTCCCCCCGCCTACATCCGCTAGTGATCAGCCTCCATAAGCAAATCCTCTTCTTTGACCTGATTTAAACATAATTTACTTATCCATCTCCCCAGCAATTAGTCTTCCGAAGATGTACAAAATAATGTTTTACGTTTTCCAGAGCTGTCAGTATTATCCTACATTTAATTATATATCATCCACATTGCTTGTGTGTACAAATATGTGAACTTACACATCTGGAATCATCTATAATTTCATATATCTACTATAGTTCAGTAAAATTAGGGATTGACCCCAACATTAACAAAATAAAGATGAAACTTATCAAAATTGTTCATTATCTTCCCGATAGTAACTGGTAAAAAGTTTCAAAGAATCCAACTTCGGTTTTGATGGGAGGAGTGGAGGGAAGAAAAGGAAACTGATATTTTTTTGAGAATATCTCAAAAACTATGAGGTTTTTCGCAAAGATTGTTCAGCACAATATTAAAGAATTTCAAAATCTCTATTAAAATGATGCTGTACGTTTTTAAAAAATGAAATCGATGGATATGGAGATATTTATGAATTATTGCATTTCCACTTTAAACAAAAATTGCTCCAAACTACGAAATTGACATTGTTTATAGTAGACTATAACTTTTTGAAATTTAATTTTTTTTTTTTTTAATTTTCGATCGTTCTATTTATTATTAAAAGTTTCTTTCTTTTAATGATTGTTAAAAGTCAGTGACAACCATAAAACTTTTTGGAAGATCCAAATTCAAGGAGCCAGAGAGACACAGATGCCTTGTGTGCCAGAATTTAACTACCACTGCAATAGTTTTCCACTAATATTCTAAATAAAAAATAAATTGGTTCTCTCACAAAGGGTATTCTTGGGAAACAGAAAGCTACAACAATACAGGGAGTTTCCTAACTGCAGGGCACTATTTTAGGTATGTGGCCACTAACACAAAATAAACAAAAAAGTACATATTAACATATATCTCAAACTCATTTATTAAACAGATATCAAAGGTTAAAGATTTATTATTTACTATTAATATTTATTTATTATTATTACAACATTTAGAGTAAATGTTCAAAGAGGCCTCGGTTTTGTTGAATGCAACATTCAGCACCACAAATCCATATTTCTCTGGCTCTTCATATAGCATCAAGAAAATGCTTCATAGTTACTGTCGCTGTGTCACAGTATTCAGTCACTCTAAAATACACAGAACTAGAAAAACAGATGAGCAACTACTATCATTGCTTTTATTTCATTTGTTCATCAGGTGATTAAATCCTGTTATTTAGTATTAAATACGTTAAAAGCTTTGTATAGTCAGTCTTAATGTAGTAAATAAATAATAAATCTTTTAACCTTTAATATCTGTTTAATAAATGAGTTTGAGATATATGTTAATATGAATGTTTTTGTTTATTTTGTGATAGTGAACACATACCTAAAATAGTTCCATGCAATTACGAAACACAATCCATTTCTTGATATTAATGTAGGACTGAGTGATTGGATTGAGGAAGATAACATCAAAACATAGCCTTTGCCTTTAGACAACTTTTTTTTTCTGAAAATATTTAGCATATAACCATACTGAACATACATCTGTTAGGACTAACTATCTTGATTATGTGTTGGCTTTAAAGGTGAAAGTGAAACTATTACATAAATATCAATTTATTTGACAACTTAAACAAAATCAGGGAGGAAATTATATAAAATTAAAAAGTCTTTAACATAAATATAACTTCATTTCAGAAATAAGTTAAATAATGAAATAAAACCAGAGTATAAAAACAATTAAAATCTACTTAAAATATTATTTCAAGTTTATGAAAAGCATAAAAGTACAAAATGTAAAAATACAAATGGAAATATATCTCATCTGATACATAAATACATTTATTATATATCAGAATTAGTCTTCATTTAAATGCCAAAAACTTTCATTAAAAGTTATATACTTAAAAATAATAAAACGATCCAGTATCAGAATGTAACTATTTGATCAATATTATCAACTACAAAAAATATTTACTTTTGTAATGCATACTAAGCATTATTTTATGAATGTGATGCAGTACCTCTCATTCAACCAAGATAAAAACTTTTAAACAATAACAACTATAAATAAAAATAAGAAAATAATACGATTCTGATTTATTGCAATTTGATAACCTACTAGCTACACTGAAATATAAATTATACATAAAACATGTTTGTTCATTGACAAAATAAAAATAATAACAAAAGTATCTAACTCTTACCAACTTTAACATTAATTATTGACAATAAATAAATCTTTGTCATGTGCACATTTGACAAGTATAACTTAACAAAATGCATTGATTAAAATACAATTTTTAAACACTTTAGTGATTCCAAACTGCAGATAATGCTGCAGAACTATTTCCATAATAAGTAAATAATATTAAGTGGCTGACAGTCACCATTGTATATCCAAACAATTTTGACTTATAATTGATAAAACATATTCTTGGAATGTTTTTAATGATTATTAAGTTTTAATCCAATTAAAATTTATTCAATGAGATTTATTTCTGATTTCCCAAATAATCAATTTTTTTCTCAGAATAAAATTAAATACTGCTTTAAAACTTCAGCATTATACATTGAAATAAAATATAATTTTTTTAATGATTAAAATAATTTTTTGGTATGTTTTACATACTACACTACATTGTATGCCGCCAATAATGAAAATATTTTTTTTAACATACTTTTCAATTCAATATAGAATTTTAACCACATTTATGAATCATTACATAAAAATCATATCAACTTATAATTTATTAATATAAAAAAAGTTTATAATCACAAGCATCGTATAAATTACTAATTCCATGATACACTGAGTATTTCCTAGTTATTCACCAGTAAACAGTTACTAATATACACATACACACATCTCTTTTCTGTAAAGGTGGAGATAAATTACAGACCGAATGAATTTATTTTCTGCTCACACTGTTATATAAGATTGTGTTTTGAATGTAGCTTAAAGAAACAAAAATGAGTTAAATGAATCAACCATATTAAACTGTTTTATTATTACAACATATTAAATGTTTTATAACTTATAATACTAATTTTAAAAATATTTTAAATGATATAAGATTAAAGTTTTGGAAGCATATCAATATTTAAACTTTCACACATTTCTTTATTCATCAATGAATTTTTGTTGACATTTTGGATGGATTTTCAAAAAACATTCAACTTTTTATTTATTTATTTTCAATCTCATTCCATTGTAATTTTTATTTATATTTTTTCTTTTTTTAAAATATATTTATTATAAACTCAATTGCTTCTTTGTTCTTTTTTTTATTTTATCATTATTTTAAAAATAAACATGTCATTATTTCTACTATGTTGTTGGCAAGTTTCCTTATATTCTATTAACTTTCATAAAATGTAATAAGTAGTGAACATCATGATATAAATAATGACAAGTTTATTTTTAAAACTAATGATAAAATCAAAAAAGGGACAAATAAACAATTGAATCAATAATAAATTTATTTCTTAAAAGGGGAAAAAATAAGAAAATAATATTGGTAAAAATTCCAAAGCAATAAATAAATAATGAATACATAGAAGTTTGAAGGTTATTATGATTCCAGAAATTTATATCAGATTCCAAACCTTCAGATAATACAAGTGTTAATATATATTATATTTTTAAAATAAAAATTAAATATTTTGTATAAGATTGAAATGGTATGACTTTCATAATTACAATTAATGTATAACTACACAAATAATTTTGATTTGAATACCTGATATATACACATAGGGTCTAAACTAAATTGAGATATTCCAATAATGTAAATATTATGCCACTGGCCTCATATGCGTTAAAAAAAAATATCAAGACTCATTCTTAACATTAAAATATTTAAGAATTACAGATTTATACTAAACATTGTGCGTCATAAGGAAAAATTTTATTTTCAGTGCATGTTGCAGAACATGTGTTTATAAGGATTTAAAAATAATTCATTTATTCAAAAAAATTTATTTCAATTACAAAGAATGGACCCACAATTTAAGTAAGGTAATAAATAAAATAAATACTGTTTCCATTCCCAAGTACATTAAAAACAGAATGGGCATTTTCACCCATTGTGTTGACTACTGTATACTGGCAATTAAGAAATTACATAGTAAAAAGAATTCATCTTTTAGATCATAACAGAAGTTAAAGATTGGAGACTAAAGAAAACAGTAAAACTCAATTGGTGACCTATTTAAAATAAGAAAAAAATATATGTTTTTTTTCCCCAAATTCTTGTGCTCTTAGTTTTCATATATTGTTGTTAAAGTCTTACTATCAAAGTTCTTTTTTTTATTTCTTAAGCAATAAGAATGATTTTATTAACACACTGAGCCATATTTTTTATAATAGTTAAATAAGTATTCATTAAAGAGTAAATACATGCTCTCATAAAGCAAATTTCAAATAATGTATATGTGGTAAACTAATATTAGCTAAAATACGATTGACAATATTTTCTTTTTTAATACTGTAAATCTTTCCTGAAATTATTTTCAGCGAAAGGAATTGGCATTTCTTCAATACTAATTAAAATAAATGCTTTTTCCAAACAGGCCAAATCAATAATTCTAAGATTGTTGGGCTGTAAAAAGAACACAAAACAAAAGGCAAAAAATAAAAAAGTGGCACATTTTCTGTGGGAGATATCAAAATAACATTTATATATCAAAATGACACATAAGTGAGTAAAAGGAATAGTATATCTCTTTAATATAATTTTAAAAAGAGGACAATTTTAAAGAGAGAAATAGAAACCCAACTTTGCTAGAATCACTTCAAGAATAGAGGGGTGTTTGGATATAAGAATGGGAGCGGGGTAGCTCAGTGGTAGGGTACTGAGCTTCCAATGCAAAGGTCCCGAGTTCGAACCCCAGCTCATGGCAGAAATTTTATTTATCTGTTTCATTGGCCGTGGGGCGACCTTGGGTCAGGAGTCCCTCCTGGGGCACACCCAGCCCAGCCTCTATAATTGATTAAATAATTAATTAAGGGGGAAAACCTGGCGGTTGAGCATGATCTCGGTCAGATCACCTCCTTGCACAACCGTTGACCTAGAAACAGTACTTTCCCTAAACAGTACTGAACCTTCATGGGCTGTAGTGGTATATAAGAATATGAAAATACCTTTTAGGGATTTATTCATTAAGTCAAACATATTGTTTTAAATACTATAGATTTTAATAATTTGTAATTTTAACTAAATGGAAAAAATACCCAGCTTTTTTAACCTCTCAGAGAATAATTTTTTCACAAAAATACAGTTATAACTTGAAAATATTAAAAGTTTTGATTGTACAATTTAAAAAAATAACATAAACATATGTGAGTATGTATGTATGTGTGAAAGTAAACCAAGAAGTAAGTTGTCTCCATTGGCCCTCATACACCTAACATATTAACATTACTAAAAAAATAGGTTCAATAAAATTTTAACTTATATTTCACCAATTATATAAAATTCATAGAAACAATAATAATTTTACATTTCATGGATATGTATGTACATATACACGCGCACACATACATATATTTTAAAAACAATGATAAAATAACTATTTTTTTTTTTTTTTTTGTCTGATACATAATTTTGCAATTAAAATAAGGAACACGATGATTCAAATCCTTATAAATATATAAAAAATAAGGACTGATAATAGTTTAAAAAAACATTAAAAATTTAACTGTGAAGTTTAAACAGTATTTAATTAATTAAAGCCTATTAAATAATTCTAAAATAATTTAACAACATAAACTTAAAACAATTATATTAGGCAAGTTTTATTGTTTTTAAATCAATTTTTAGTATAGAGAAAGAATATTTCATAAAAAAAAAAAAAAAATAATAATAAAAAAATTGGATGACTTGAGTATCAGCGAATCATCAAACAAACAAAATATCAATCAAACTTGCCTAATTCGGTAACACTATAAAATCTGTTTAAGCAAATGCACGCAACACAATCACACTAGAGCAATACAATTGAAAAATAAGTCCTTTTTTTTTTTCTTTTTTTTTCCTTTTTTAACCTTAAAATCACTTGCCACTAATAAATAGTAGGCCTAAAATATGTCTTCACATTGGTGGCACATCATATCTGAAAATATGACCAATACAGTTTATTAACCACTAACACTATAATTTATTTCTTTGAGTCCATATCTTACTTGTGTTATAGGAGAAGATGATAAATTTCATCAGAGTCAATTACCAATAATATATTTTTCATTATATGTACTTCCTCTACAGTGTTTCTTCTGCTTCTTTTTTCTTGTTTGAAAATATGTGATTGGGAGAATTCAGGTTCAAATACTAGAGAGTGATAGAAATTAAAACATTCGAGTAGTCAATTCATGAAAATTGAGAATTTCTCTTCATTAAATCTTTCACAATAATAAAAATTCTATAGTCGAGATTTTCATCAATAAATAAATAAGAAAAGATAAGTATATATACAAATTAATAGAAGTCTTTAGATAATAAACTTAACACACTATATAAAGTATACAAATTACAAAAGATGACGTATTATAGACTTAAGCATAATGATTGTTCATATCTAAGGTAGTCTAATAGATTCATAATAAAATAAAAAAATTTGTTTCAGTCTTTAAAACAGTTTTAGGCGTGTAACGCAGTTGTAGTAGGAGTTGAGTGTGCCACTATAGGAGTCTGGCAATATGGGCAATCCTTCTGACCTGGAGCACAGGTACTACACAAAACATAGTGGTTACACGGCCCTAGGGTCACTGTTCGATTTCGTTCCTCACACACCATGCATTTTGTCGCTGTCTGCAAATAAAGCTCCTAAAAAAATTTAAAAAAATTCTTTATTAAGGTAACTTTATTTATTCTTATTTATACAGGTTTAAAAACTTTAGATCCATACCTGAAAATTTTCAGGAATCCTAGGCTCTAGCAGATTACTTAGAAATTAACAAGAATGAGCGAATCAAACCAAGCATGGGAAGAGGATTGTAGTGGCAGCAGGGTACATCCCCTACGAAGAAGACATCCCCAGGAGCGAGAGCAGCATTAATGAGGGTGCTTAAAAATATTTTGGATAGACTTCAGCCTTGAAGACGAAGAAGATCGTGGAAGGACTTCTTCTCTTGATGATGATGTTCTGTGGGCTTTGGTGGACAAAAACCCAGAACAACTGTTCGAGAACTTGCAGGGAAACTAAATCTTAGCAAATCGGCTGTCAATGATCATCTCAAGGCGATTGGAAAAGTAAAAAAGTTTTTTAAGCTTCCATATGCATTAAACGACCGCCAAAAAAACAGCATTATGAATTTTGTGCTACACTTCTTTGCCGAAACAAAAAGGACTTTTTTCTGTTCAGAATTGTTATTTGTGATGAAAATTGAATAATTTTCGATAACAGAAGATGTTTTGGACAGTGGCTTGACAAAGGAGAAGCAGCAGAACATTTCCTAAAGCCCCCAACTCATAAAAAAAAGGTGATGTTTGAAAAAATATTTTGAAAGAAAAAGGTTACTGTTTGGTGGGCTTCATTTGTTTTGGCACACTACAGCTTCTTAAATCCTGGAGAAACCATCAATGCTGAATCATAATGTAATCAAATTAATGCAATGAATGCATCAGAAATTGGTAATAATGAACCATCTTTGATCAATCGAAAGGGGCTCATTTTGTTGCATGATAAAGCCAGGCCACATATCTCACGTGTGATATCACAAAAACTGTTGCGGCTTGGATATGAAATTCTGCCACATCCATCCTACTCTCCAGACCTCTCGCCTTATGGATTATCGTTTTTTAAATACTGGACCACTACTTACATGATTAATAAAAATTTAAAGAAATTACATGAAGAATAAAAAATTTAATGGACAAAGGAAATTAGAAAATGCATTTTTGGAGTTCATCAATTCTAAAGATGGAAAACTATTCCGAGAGAATGGAAAAGTTGCCAACACATAGGCAGAAATATATTGATGGTAGTTTGATTAAATAAAACAGTTATGAATCTTTCTTTTTTCTTTTTAAAGCAAAATCCTGCATTATTTTCTAGACACTCCAATAGATTAGAGAAACGGGAAAAACAAACGGTAATTAATTATTTTAAACAATCATTTTGTACCGTTAGCAACAATTTTCACTTTCACTTCTTCATTTTTAAAAATACCATATTTTACTCAAAGTAGGTTGAGAAATAAAAGTTATGTGATGGATGTACTGCAAGTTTTTATAAAAAAATATATATATATATAAATTATGTATATACAAGAATATTCTTTTATTAAATCATTATTTTCATATTTCTTTAATTTCGGAATAACTTTGATCAACATTTGAAGTCCTTATAATATATTGTTTTTAATTGTCAATTATTTTCTAGTTCCCCTCCCTTTTTCTCTTAAAGACTAAATACATAGCCCACAAATTGATTTTATGTAATATTGTTCTAATGGGACTCTCTTCCACTTTATAGAAATTAAAGAATTTATTTACCGTGACATTATCTGTAGAATAAAACCTAAACGTTAAGGAAAGTTTACAGATCGGTTCTTACCTGTTTACTTAGGGAATTCCTTCTACATTAAAAGGTGATAAATGTGATTTTGTGTTATACCATATATCATTGACTGATTTCTACATATGTACCATAACTAAAAACAAGTATGAATATTGAAGAACATTTAAAATTAAAACTAAATGAATAACCTACCTTGTCAACTTGTTCCAAATCACTTCTAAGCTGAGCCTGTATTGATTTTAATGTGGTGAGGGGAAGTGATTTCAGTTCAGATACTCTTCTTAAACCGTGCAGGTAAGGAGACCCCTGTAATAAGTCTACCTCCTTTTGCAAAGCTTTGGCCTGGCTCATTGCCTGAAAATAAATGGAGAAATGAAGTTTGTAAATATACATGACAAAAAAATTAACAGAATAAAAAATAAAAAAAAGGCTGATAAATAGTCATTCTACAAATTTTGTTATTTGTGCCAACGTTTTAACCCAAACATGTGGGTCATCTTCAGGGCTGAAAATTTTAAAATATAATCAGATATATAATATTATATGACCAATAATGGTAAATAATAAACTATAGTGATTGATGGTACATGAATCTTAACTATTATTACAATACACAATATTAAAAATGAAATAAGTAAAAAGTTATACGAACTATAAATAATATATATAATCTATTTATAAAAATTTGTAATATTTTCTCTTACTAAACGTGGTTCGAGCACTGAAGGCTTTCAAGTACTGACACATTTGGTAGGTAAGTGAAAAGGACGGGGGAAGGATTTCCCAGTTGTCCTTTTTCAGACAGCAAAAGGTAGTTAAACAGTCAGAGGGAGAGGGAGGTAACATTTCTGTTAGTAGAATGTAAATAATTTGCTGACTAAATATTTTAGATGTGCACAAGATTTGCATTGTTTCTTATGGTTACAGAATTGTGAATATTGGCTAGTAATGAAATGAATATAAGCAAGAGGTGCCAAGCAATATAAATATAACATAGTTTGATTAAAGGTATACAATGTTTAGCCAAATAATATTCATAATAAAGACAATTGTAATGGATTGAAAACATACATAGGACAATATATTATACAGTATTTTAAAAATAACAATATTAATCATAATAGAAGTATGTATTATATTAAGGATTATATAGTTTTAATAATATGAGTATAAACATATCTGTGTCTGTTTATAGTATAGGTGAAGATGAGTTTTGGATTGATTTATAATTAGGTTTTTTATAATGTGATCAGGAAAGGCGTTGGATTTCAGGATCTTGTAAAGTTTGGTTAGGTTATTGTCATGGATTTGGACGCACAACTATCGGATCCGTCAAGTTGGAAGAAGACCTGCAAAACCGGGTCGAAACGTTGGCTTTTAATAAAACAGTTTTGTCACTATTTATGACCAGCACTAAAGACCATCTCCTTCCTTAATAATACAACGATCAACAATTAAGTAATCAATCAAAGATTATTTTTGCATAACTATTGGACAAAATTACCTCATCTCTTTGTTGTTCGGCAATATTTGCTTTTCTATTTGCCTCTTCTGCTTCTCGCTGCCAAGCCTCACAAACACCTAGAGCTTGAGTAACTTTTTCCTCACATGACGCCAGCTTGCTTCTATTACCAGCAACTTCTTCTCTTAATCTAGCAACCTTAAACAAAATTAAGAGGATTTCTCACCTTTTCTTAGAACAGTCATAAAATAATATACATACATCTAATAATTATATCTGAATAAATCTCAAGATTTTTTAAAAAATCTTCTTAATACATTGGTTCAATCTAATCTGGGAGTCATAAAAACCAGCACACCTTAAATTTTGTCATTAATTCTTTCCCAACAGAAAAAAAAATTGAATATTTTTTACCTCAATATAATGTGACATGTTCTGTTTGTAGGAAACCACAAATAAAGGAAAAAAACAAAAAAATTATTAACAAAATTCTGTAATGTAAAATAAAGCAAATGAACACTTTTAAATAAAATAAAACGCATCCAATTCTTTTTTTTTAATTATGAAATCTGAGTCTCTAGTACCTAATGTTGCCCTCCTTACTCGTAGGCATATTGTGATTAAGGTTGGCTACCTGATCTTGAATCTGATCTCATTTACATACTTGGAGTTCACATGGAGGTTTATGTTGTAAACAGATAGAATTCCCAAGCTGGTCCCAAAGATGCTCAATAGGATTGATGTCCAGGCTGCAAGCTGGCCACTTCAAGGTGCGGACACTAACCTCGTCTAGGTAGTCCTGTACTTCTTGAAGTGCAGCCTGAGCATTACACTCCACATATTCCAGGATGTAAGTTAAGTAGGTTTGTGCATTGTGCGTTTGGTCTTCCGAACAAATGGAGTTCTGTCTTTGACTCTAAATCTATTCCATCTCAAACCACCACTAACTTTCCTCTGAAATGCATTCTTTGCGCTATATCGAACTGAGCTTATTGTCTACTTGCTCTTCTACATACTCGACTTGTCCGTCTGCATCATTAAGGCCATACCTGGACAAAATACAAAACAGGGCAAATTATCTGTCCAGGTAGCGTGTTCACGACAAATGTAGAGGAGAGCTGCTTGATGTGCTGCCATGAGTAGAGAGCCGGAAACAAGAATCCTAGCATACAGGTTGAGTTCAGCAAGCCTTCTCTGGGACGTGTGCATGCTGAAAACCACATCCGAGCAATACGCAGTTGATGAGAAGTCTCAACTGAAATCTTGATCGTTTCTAAGGGTTTATATAGTAATGAAGCGGTAATTGGCTTGAATTATTTCTTTTGGATGGCCTGAACCATTGTTTTAGGCAGTCTGTGGAGTCAGTTCACGTATCTCTGGCTTCAATCTTACTCAACGCAGTAATCTAAGCAACTGCTACGATATTCAAAACCATTTTACAATCTTAAAAATGTTTAATATAAATGAAATATTGTTTTTCTAGAAAAAAAAAACAAACAAACACAAAAGCAAAGCCAATGCGATTGAACTGACAACTGGAGAGAAATTGATATGAAGTTCTCGTTTTACTTAATACTTTTATCACAAATCCTAGATAGAATTGAAATTTTCTTGAAAAGATTGACGAATGGTAATTCCCTTTGACTTATTACATACCTGTTATTACTTCAGACTCAAAAATATTTCTTTAACCTACAGTTTTTACATAAAATTCAAGCTGCACCAATTTATATTCGGGATAGACTTTTATTTCTGTTCGATTAAGTAAAATTAGAGACTGGCAAATTCCAGAACTTTTAAGGGACTTCATAGTTCATGTTCATTTTTACTTAGATGATGGCAAACTTAATTTTGTTTATATTAATACAAATTTGTCTGATGATAATTTGTTGCACTATTTATCTCAGTTTGGCCGTGATCAGGCCATCCAAGATCAGGTCCTGCTGAGTATCACTTTATAGCTATGCAGACCCCCATGAAAAACCTCTATCAGACTTCAGTTGATAGAGGTTGCATGGGGATTGCATATTGCTTGAGGTGCAGATGTCAGTGCGCACACAGGAAAGCTTGCTGAACTCAACCTGCACGCTAGGATCCCTGTATCTGACTCTCTACTCACAACAACACACAGACACCTGGACAGAAGAAGATTTGGGATCTGTTCTATTTTCTGACGTGTGCAGGTATAGAGCCTTTAAGGTACAGATGGATGAGTTCACATGTGGAAAAGACCAATTAGCCAGTAAGCTCAGTCCAATATAGCAGGAAGAGTGCAGAGTTCAGAGGAGGGTTGATGATGGTTTGAGGTGGAATGTGTTTAGTCAAGTACAGAGTCCATGTGTTCCAAAGGACAAAGGTCAATACACACACGTACATTACAGACATTCTGGAGGAATATGCGGTACCTTTTGGCTAGTTTATTACCATCCATATCTTTTTTTTGCAGCTTAATTCCAAGGTGCACATCGAAAATGTTGTACAGAACTATCTAGACAAGATTAGTGTCCATACCTTGGAGTCTTCAGCTCATAGCCCAGAGAATTCAGTCCTATTAGGAATCTTTAGGACCAGCTTAGGAAGTCCATCCGTCGGCAACAGAGCCCTCCATGAGACCTGTTGTGTTCATTTGCTCTATTTTACGTTGAGTGTGCAGTATCTAATTTGAACATGTTTGATTTTTTAAAGAAATCTATAATGCATTTTTACTAAATTGATAACGAAAAAGATTGTAATTGAACTAACCTCAGATAAAGATGTTGACCCAAGTGGACTGACAGAAAAACTAGCCAATGCACCCCGACTACTTGGAGACATTCCATAATCATATAGGCTGCTGTTGGTCAAACTGCCTAACTTGCTGGATGAATTACCAACATTGTTTCCAACATGGTTTAGCAAAGACCCCTTAAGAGAACAGATTATTTACTTACATATTACTTTTTTTTTTTTTTATCTATTTATTGAATAATAATACAATCAGCCACTGGAGGGCTATAAGTATTAGGGCTAAGAGTTCTCATTCAAACAATATATACAAATAATAGAGAAATAAATATAAATATAAAAAGTAAATAAATAATACTGATGAAGAAAGAAAATAAAAGAAAAAATAAATAAATAAACAATAACATAAAAAGAAACTTATAAACACAATCATACCTATATACAATATATGCATTCGCCCAAGAATCTCCGAGCCAGGCTTTTTCCCCCACATGTGGAAGGCAAAGCAAGACTCCAGGAGATCCCAGTGCCACTTTTCCAGCCGCATCACTAGTATTAGAAGCCAATGGAGACTGAAAGAGGGCACTAGAGCCACAGACGCTCAGGACATGAGTGGAGAAGCTGGCCATTGCCAGGACTCCAGAAGCATATTTACAAGAGATCTCTGGGCCACTGCCGTTTTAACCTTGGTAGAGGATTGTAGGGATGAAGGGAGCTGGATAGGGATTGAGCTAGAGGATTTGGATGATGGATAAGGTTTTGGTGAAAGTTTGAGAATCTGGTTGGGATGATGTCGAGGACAAATGGGATGTTAAGGTCATGGTGTAGGGTCTTGTTTGTGACATAATATGGGGCATTGACTATTGTTCTAAGTACTTTGGACTGGAAGGATTGGATGCGTTTGATATTCGAATGTTTAGCAGTTCCCCACAGTTCAAGACCGTAGGTTCAGATAGGTTTCAGTATTGTCTTGTAGATTAAAAGTTTATTTTCAATCGAAAGATGGGATGTCCTGCTTAGTAGTCTATACAGCTGGCCATATCGTTGGTTAAGTTCTTGTCTTTTAAGTCTCGTATGTGGGTTCCAAGTTAGTCTTTTGTCTAGAAGGAAGCCAAGGTAACGGACTGTGTCTGAGTAGGGAAGTGGAATTGAATTGAAAAGGATTGTCGGACAGGATCTGCGTCGCATAGTGAAAGTAATATGTTTGCATTTTGATTCATTGATTTTGATGCGCCAGTTGTTGCACCACTGCTCAATCAAAGAGAGGTGAGATTGTAGGTTTAGAGATGCTATTTGAGGATCTGAGTGGGAAGATAGAATGGCGATATCATCAGCAAATGTAGCTAGAAATGTATCGGGATTTGAAGGGATATCGGAAGTGAAGAGGATATAGAGAACTGGGCCCAAGACACTGCCTTGTGGAACACCAGCCTCAACTGGATAGTAAGTGGAGAATGCGGTGTCACAACGGACTTGAAAGGAACGATTTGAGAGGTAGGATTTGAGGACTAGGTATAAGGATTGGGGTAAATGGGTTTTGAGCTTGAAAAGCAAGCCATCGTGCCACACCCGGTCGAAAGCTTGTGCTACGTCCAGAAAGGCACCAGTGCAATAATGCTTGTTTTCAAGTGCAGAGGATATATGGTCCACAACACGAAGGCCTAGTTGGACAGTGGAATGTCTTGAGCGGAATCCAAACTGATGAGAAGGGATGTTGTGGGATTCGATTATGGGTAGGATGCGTTTGAGAAGGATTTTCTCAAAGATTTTTGAGAGGATCGGGAGTAAGCTTATCGGTCTATAGGATGATGTGTTATTAACAGGTTTATCTGGTTTTGGAAACAGGATGATTATGGAATGTTTCCACACCAAAGGAAAGTTGGTTGTGCGAAGGATGCAGTTGTATAGATAGGTAAGGAATATGATTGCTTTTTTGGGAAGTTGTCTGAGGATTTGTGAAGTGAGGAGATCATATCCAGGGGATTTTCGGGGTTTTAATTTGTTTATAAGGAATTTGACCTCAGAGGGGTTAACAGGTTTTGGAGGTAGAGAGAGAGGAATTGGTGAAGAGAGGAATTCTTCAACTTCAGCAGTGTGGCTGGGATGGAGTTCGGGATGAGGGGTGAATGTGTAGGATAAATGTTTGGCAAACTCCTCTGCTCTATTCGCATCTGACGAAGCCCAGGAACCATCATCACGGCGAAGTGGATGGGAAATGGACTGGAATTTAAGGATTTTTTTGGTTACATTCCAGAGGGAGTTATCACTAGCGGAAATATTTAAACTAGACAAAAAATAAAAAAATAAATTGAATTTACTATTGAATGAATTAAGCCAAGTATATAAAGGAAAAATATCAATACAAAAAATACCTCTAAGGTATCCGGATGAGAGAATCTAGATGCTGACAAGAAACCTGACTGTAAATGATGTAATGGTGAAGCACGTGTTGGCGAGAAACTTCCGAGACAACTGGTATGCCCACTACGGGGAATGTTGACAGGAGCACTACTTCCAAGCATACCTTCACAATAACTTAGATTAAAAAGTTTTATCTATAGAATATTGAAAACATGAAAATTTAATAGATGAATAGGAAATGATAGGAGATCAACTGTGTTCATATTTTAAGAATATACATTATTTTTTAATCAGTAATTGAAGTATAAATAAGATAGTCAGTTATTGCTTGTCTTTACTTTCTTAATACCTACCAAAGAATGCTAAGCCCGGAAAGCATCGTTACTGGATTATTGGCCGAATTTTCAGTATTTTAGTTCCAACAAATACAGTGAACCCTAGCTGATCCGAACCTTGATAACCAGGTTTATTTCATAACGTGAACTATCCCAAATAAAAAAATCAGAATTTCCAGAGCTTCTCCAAAAAAATCTGCTACATTTCCCTTTTTTTAAAATTATTAATACTTTATTTGTTCTGGGACAAGAAGGCCATTTAGAATAACAGATAGATAGAAATGTGGGTTTTGGAAAAATAAACAAATAGATATAATAAATTAAAAAATGCTACCTTTTAACTTTAATCAACTAAGAAAAAAAAATGAAAGAAAAGTAAAATAAAAATAATTAAAACGAAGTATTAATCGTTTTTTCCCAATATTTCTCTATTTAACATAAAAATATGGTGTACAGAACACACAACTTTCACTTACTGCTCAACTCTGAATATAAATTATTTTTTGTTATGTTGGGTTATTATAAAATTTTTGAATTACATTTTTAATCGAGCTAAAGCTAAAAGATTACAGCTAACAAATCATAAATACCATTAAAATAACAAAAGTCCTATTTATTATATCACTGGTTGATTATAGGTTGTACGATCCGTTGATTATGGATTGTACGACTATTAGATAATAAACTATAATTTTACGTTGCAAAGTTTAATAAAATGGAAGTAAGAGATTTGCATAGTCTATCATAGACAGGTCAAAAGTTGTCACACTAATTGGAAGAGAAAATTGTTAGAATATCACAAAGGGAAAATTCATCGAATTATTCACTAATTTAATTTTCTAAAAGGTTATATGATGATTTTTTGGAATAAACGGATGATAGATACCTAATTATTTAAACATATCAGATCTAGAGTTATTCGAGAACCCTAACAAAATAAAGTAAATATATTTAAGGTTATAAACATATCCATGAAATATTTTTATATTTCACTTCTTTCACACAAGTACAGTGAAATAGTATCTTAAACAGCGTCACTGTTTTGAATCCGTGGATTTTAAATACCTTTTTAAACTTAAAAAAATGTTAAAAGTTTACATTTAGTAAGAAAATTTCATTTAATTTCCTTGTAAACACGGGATTTACTTTAAATAATATTATGAGTAATAAATATTCAGGAGGCAGTCTTTGAATTTTTTTTTTATTTGTGTCAACATTTCAACTCAAAAATGTGGGTCATCTTCAGTGATCAAACCACGCCCTGAATTTTAAAAAATATTTTTTTAAAGACTGCGTTCTGAATATTTATCACCCATGATATGTAGAACAGTCGACTAGCTTCCTTCAATAAATAATATTAGGTTTTATAAATTATTATTTATATTTTTTTGTACTCTCCATTACCTTCTAAAATTTTCTATATTAGATATTGTTTTTTTTTTTATTATTATCCACTTTCCAATGATATATAATACATATACCTTCTGACCATTATTTCCAGATATTCATTTTTGGCGTGAATATGTGTTTTTCTTTTTTTTCTCCCATATTCAATTATCAAATTCTTTCAAAAGTTATATTTAGTATTTTTTCATAACTCCTAACAATGAGAAATGGGTATTATTTATAATAAACCTAATTAAAGGTACTTTAGAGGAAGACATGATAATGTGGGGATTTCACAAAGAGAAAATTCATCAAATTATTCACTAATTTAATATTCTCAAATGTTACATGACAATTTTCAGAATAAACGGACGTTGATACCTAATTATTTAAGTATAATCTCAGATCTATTATGAAGACATGGAAAGACTACTAAGATTCTTTCTTAAAAATGATTTAAATTACCGAAGCATACTCCAACACATTTTATTCACTTTAACTAAATAGATCCGTTAATTATCTTTCCAATTAAACTCCATTTTGATTACATTATAAACATTTTGAATCTTCCACCACATAGATATCCAAAAATATTAGCGCTACAGATAATTAAAACCGAAATCGCATGGTTTAGAGACTTACTTAATCTGATAGACCTGCATGAATTAAATTTCAACTTAAATTGATCTAACTGTGATGATGATCTAACTATGGAGAGCTAATTTATATTTACTAAGAACTCAAATTCAGAAAGATATATGTAATCAATACGTAATTAAAGTTCAGAAATCTAAAACTTTCACTTTTTATCCTCATTTAACAAAAGCTCATTGAAGGTAATCAGATGGGTTATTAAAATTAGAGTGGTTTTGAACTTAAATGATAAACACTTCGAGCAAACAAATAATAACTGTAGCATGTATAATACAAACGAAACAGAAGATCTCTATCACTTTCTGGCTGCTTGTCAGATTCCCTCTGAATTTAGAATTAAATGGTTAAAATCTAGACATTTATCTCGGGATCAAGTAAAAGATTTATTAAATGGAAACGATTGGATAGCATTGGTAAATTACTGCAAGACTGTTTTCTTCTATAGAATAATGCTCACCAGAGAATTTAACAATTAACAAATTGGAGAATTTTGGTACGACTCTTTTTGTAATTAAAATATTTATTTAGCTTTTACATTGTAATTGTTCTTATTAATTAATTGGATATAAATAGATTGAAATATAATTTTGTTAAAAAACACAGACTCCTCTGACGGTCAACAGACCATGTATGTAGCACGTCTGATTTTCGGTTTTAAATCTAAAAATATTATTTTGTGTTGTTTTTTAATTTATATTATGTAATTTTGATAAATAAAAAGACTTCTTCTTCTTCTTCTAATTTTTAAGCCAGGAGTTGGTTGGGGGGAGGAAGGGAGGGTGCGATCAAATATATACTATATTTTTAAAAAAATAGTATTTTTAATTGTTACACCTCAATTAAAAATATTATTTTTTTTTTAAATTAGTATTTATTTGACCTCCCCCCTCCCCCCATCAACTCCTTCTTAAATTATATATAAAATTAATAACTTCACTGCAACTTATTTCTTTTTACTAAAATTCTCTTAGATATTGAGCTCAATAGGTTCTTTGCTTTTCCTAAATGTAAATTTCTTTATCACAAATATAATTTCAATTACTTATGTAATAATGTTCAAAAACACCTTGTAAAAACACTTAAACACATATTTCATCTTAAATGTAGTCTTAATTAAATTTTCCCTAAATTTATCAATAACCGTATAAGTCACTTTCATAAAAATAACAAGAGGAGGTCCAGTCAGTGGGTCACCAATTTCAGAATTTTTTTTCTTTAAGATCTGTACTGCTTTGTGTGATTAGAATCTTATAGACCTTGCTTTATTGTAGATGAATTGTTCTTTTTATGGCCGCCAACCTGTATTTCTGTTTTCATGAAAGGTGAAGATATCAGATGAGGGACACATAGCTCAGAATACCCTGCTACTCCTTCATAAATTGTCATTGTCCTCAGAACTTGAGGTCCCAGACAGCACTCCGATTTGACCCATTAAGTTATAGTGTCACACTGCTAGCCAAGTAGTCCCATGTGAAGAGCAATGTTGAAATTTCTCCCAAATCTTACTCAAATATAGATTATGCTTGGACGGATTCTCTCACCTTGGATCTATAAATCCATGAAGTTTTATTCTACTTCTAATATGATTAACTTGAAGCTTAGAAAATGTTTACCGAACTAGTGCACATGAATTTCACTGTGTGGATAAAACAATGATGGCCGTTTCCCAATTTTTACCAACTGCTGTATACAATAAAGCAAATATTTTTAAGGTTCTCAGTTACATAAATATTTTAAAAGAAATACATCTAAACTTAAATTCTGATTTTGAATATATCCCGACAGAAGTTGACATTTTTTTAATGAAGATTTTTGTTGAATAGATCAAATCAATCTGGCCAGAGACAGCAACCAGTTAACATACCTCTGTATTAATAAGTGTCCTATTTTGTTAAATTTCTTTGATTTCTGCTGTTTTTTTTTTTCTTTTTAATATTCATTATCAATAGAAATTATAGACATTTCATATTTCCTCTCAACTCATCGAAAAGTGAAATTATCGAAGTTTGTTATAGTATCACGAGCTACAGGACAGTGGTAAACAACTGAGCTCTAGAGGATTAAGCCCTGCTGTCGCTATTACGCATCACAACAACCCGGCTTGTTATTGTAAGTACGATCTATTTACTAAACAACAATATGGCAAATTGCCCGTTATGCAGCAGCACCATCAGTCGAGAAGAGAAAAATATTTTATGTTGTGCTAAATGTAAATCACTATTTCACAGCAGGTGCGGTAAACTCAGTGATAAAGAGTTTGAGGCTCAAAAATCATCAAAAAAAGGATCGATATGTTCTAGTTGCGATCAGCCTAAAAAGATTCCACCAGGTGGTGAAAACCCAGATCAAAGTCGCAACACTGAGCCTACACTTTCAGAAATTCTGGCAGCAGTAAAGCGGCTGGATGATTATTTTAATCAGGAAATAAAATATATTAAAGTAGCTCTAGACAAGTATGGAGATCTGAGCTTCGAAGTAAACACTAGGCTATCTAAAATTGAAAACCACTTAGAGGAACAATCTAAGAAGCTTGAAGAAATAATCTCAGAAAATAAAGCCCTCAAATCTAAAGTCTGTGAACTGGAGGTCAGACTGAATAAAGCCGAACAGGGCCTGCTTAGTAGATCGCTCGAGATCCGGGACATCCCGGTTCGAGCAGGTGAGACCCCAGCAGCTCTAGTTACAAGTATTGGGGCCGGCCTGGGCATTAAACTTAATGTTGAAGATATAGACACTGTGCAGCGTCGAAGAGCAAGAAAAGATGACCCGCAACCACCGCCTATCATCGCGAAATTCGTCAGGCAGGCAGTGAGAGATGACCTGGTGCAGAAGCGAAAAGTAAAAAGGGACTTTTCGACGTGAGAAATCGGTTGGCAGGAAAATGACTGCCACCGTATCTATCTCAGCGAGGAAATGACTCCAACGAACAGGTATCTTTACTGACTCGCTCGGCAGAAGAAAGCAGCGGGTAAAATAAAATATATTTGGTTCTCCGGCGGCAGACTGCGATGTCGAAAGGACGACGGTCATCAGGTTGTCTTTATCGACCAGAGTCAAGACCTAGATGTCTTCGGCTGACTCTTCGATCCCCGTTTACTTCTCAACACTGACAAAAAATTTGGCATAGTTTACAGGACTCACATTGTAAATCAGGATTGTATGTTATGTTTCTATTGCAACTTTTTAATTAATTTATTTCTATTGATTATTTCTTTTACATATTTTTTTCTTTTTAATAGTTTTTTTCCTTATATTTCAGTTTTTACATTATCTCATCTAATGTATCATATCCGGTCCAGCGTCTGTTCATCAAGTTCTGACTTTATTTTCCCCCATCCTAATCATGTCTAGCATCCTTACTACCTGTCACGTCAACTCCTAATCCCTCCCAGCCCATTTCGATGAATTCCTAGAATACTTTACCCACAATTTTTACCCATATCATTTCAATTTCTGAAACCTGGCTCAAGCCTTACATCCTTTCCACATCTGTTTCCCTTCCTAACTACACACTAATCCCCCACGACCGGACTCTATGGTTAACACTTTCACTTCCAACCTCCTTAATATCCTTGATACCCTTGCTCCCATTAAAACCTCGACCTTTCGTCGCCCCCCGGCTCCCTGGTTGTGTCAGCAAATTAAAGATCTTCAGAAGAGACGTGATGCTGCCCGCAGACGCTTTAGACGTACTAGGCTCGCTGACGACTACCAAGCATTTAGGGTGCTGCATAACCTGACACAAACCAAAATCGGACGAGCCAAATCCACTTATTTCCATGAAGCCCTTTCATCAGCTCCTGATTCCAAAAACAAATGGCAACTCCTTCGTAAACTCTCCCTCTATGATTCTTCCAGATCACCTTCCTCAGCAGTCTTTCCAGTCAAACCTGATGATTTAAATTCATATTTTATTTCAGCTTCCTCCTCCATTCCTCTAACAACTTCTTCCTTCTTTACTCCTGGAATATCATTTAACGACGACAACTTTTATTTTTCAGATATTTCTCCTACAGACCTCATATCTGCCATGATGGAATCTCATTCCAAATCCATTGGTCCAGATGGTATTCCTGTCAAATTAATCAAATTATGCCTACCTGAAATCCTTCCCGCTTTCCTTTTCATCTACAATTTCTCTCTTCAGAACGCAATATTTCCTTCCTCATGGAAAAAAGCCATTGTCCGTCCTTTACTTAAAAAGCCTAACCCTTCTTCCCCTGAAGACTACCATCCAATCTCAATCCTTTCTAACCTTGCAAAACCTCTAGAACGAATAGTCCAATGCCAAGTTTCCAACTTCCTAGAACAGTCCAACCAACTTGACCTTGACCCTTACCAGTCTGGTTTTTGACTAGGCTACTCCACACAATCCGCCCTAATCAAAATCACCAGTGATGTTCAGTCGGCCATAGATCCGCCCTCATCTTCCCCCACATTGACTACGGCTGCGTAGTGTACGGTGGCCTCTCATCGCAACTTGGAGACAGACTGAAAAGAATCACGAATGGGTTAGTAAGATTTGTCTATGGAACCCCGAGACGTTCTCATGTTTCCCATTACTACGCCGAGTTAGGGTGGCTCTTTCCCTCCTTCAGAAGACAATATTTCCTAGGTACATTCCTTTACCAAATAATCTATAATCATCGTCCGTCCTACGCATTCAATCTCTTTCTATTCAAGTCATCTATCCACTCCCTCTCCACAAGATCTCGTACTTCTGACCTTTATACCCCTTTCACAAATCGGCCTCATTCCAACACTCCTTTATTGTCCGCTCCACCACCTTTTGGAATTCCATCCCACTTAAAATCCGCCATGCACCATCCTTATCCATATTTAAAACCCTCTTATTCCAATTCCTCCTTACAATTCAATCAGAAGCTGGGTAGCCATTTATCATGTATAGTATATATGTATATAATCTCGTCTATATGTATATTCTCTTTCATTTTCACCAATCAAGCTACATCTTAAGATTTAGATTATATAGGACTTGTATAATGTTTACAATACTATTATTGTATTCTTTGAACATATTAAAGTACATATGTAAATCATTTAAAGTAAATATTTATCCACTCTTTTATTATTATTTTTCTCATTAATACAATGGTATGACAACAAAAGTAAGTTGTCATTCATTCCAAATCTCACTTAAATTCCATAGTTTATTGTTTTTAGTAACTATCTTGCAGTATTAGGACCTTATTGCTCATATCATGTCTTTAATATATCAGTATAATTATGTAAATCCTAGTGTTATTACTTATTTTTAGTTTTTTTTATGTGCTTTTTTTATTGTAATATACATTTTAGCCAGATGTTATGTTAATTTTTATGTATAATATTGTTATTCTCAAGGGACTTTGTCCCAGAATAAAGTTGATTCTTCTTTTCTATTCTATTCTAAAAAAAAATCTTCAATGTTCACTGCTTAAAGATTTGTAGTAGCAAAAAGAACTCTCTCTTTTGTACATAAGACTTTTTTTTCACACTGTTTAATATGGAGAGCCGGGTTGAATGGGAATCTTTTGTTCTTAAAACAAAAAAATATACAAATATTTTGATACAAAAAAACTATAAGTTAATTATTAGAAATTATTGTAAGTGTACACACCAGATATTTTGATACAGTTACTGATTACCAGATTAATGATCCTCTGGGGTAAATTGAAAAATATAATATCTATAATGATTAAATAAGTCAGAAAATTAATCAAATACAAAAAATAATAAGCAAAAATCACCTGAACTGGCCAGTCCTGCAGAAATAGAATTAGAGATCGTTGGTGAATCTGTTTCGACAAAATCTCTATCCATTCCAATCAAACTTAATGGTTCATCTAGATGCAATTCATCCAATGCATTACCTTTAATGGAAGGGTATACATAAATTATTGGTCAATGATTTTGACAAATCTTAACATCAGTACTCTATTGCTACAGTATAATATTTAATAGTGATTGCATTTATGTAAAAATGTGGATTTTTTTTTCATATATTTTAAGGGCCTGAAAGAAAAACAAAACAGGACTACGGGATCTAACAAGAGAATGTCACAGCTATGATATCGCTGATTTCAATGAAATTTTCACTGGTAATACTAGATCGAAAACATTAGATAGGTGTTGTTTGTGGGTTCTTGCCAATGGGCCCAGAGATTCGAGAAATTCATAAAAAATAAATTCCAAAAATTTTATTTTATACTCTATTATAATTAATACTCATATATATTAACCACTTCTTTATATTTATATATAAGTTTTATTGATTGTCCAAAGAATTAACCAGTATGTTATGTGTCTAGCAACCCAATATAATTGGGCAGCAAGCTTTTATATGAAAATGAAGTTTCTCTCTAAAACATTGTTTTATGACTTGGCTCTACATGAATTGCAATATTATTAAATACCAATGAATTTGTTTTTTAACTTGTTGAGTTAGGGATGACTATTGTTATATACAGCAATATGTTTTTTTTAATGAGTATTATTAACATAGCAATATGTTATGAACAGTGTACAGAATCAAATAAGTGAAGACATGTTGTGATAGAGGATTCTCGATGAGTCCAAAATAATAGTTTCAACTCTGGTCTGCACTGCTCCCTTCTAATACCAAGCCTGTGCACAAAATTATTTGTAGCAAGAGGGATGGTTTCCTTACTTCGGAACCACAGCCCTTTCACTGAGAATTTTTTTTCACCCAATTCATCTCCATATTTTTCTTGTAAGTATGGAATTCATCTATAGTACCTTATTAATTATTTTGAAATTCATTCAGAGCCAAGTCATAAAACAATAATATAAAAAATTGTTCCATTACATACATCTTAATGGTCTCACATCTCTCTAGTTGATTTCCTGAGTAGTTAACCATTTAAGTAGCTAGTTAAGTTTTAAGTTAGCCAACTACAGCAAAACAATACTGACGGTGTGTTAAGTGTTTGGGTTGTCTGGTAAAAAGTATGTAACAATTTTTCAAACAAACGGCTGGATCGATCTTTATAAAAATATTTGTCTTCAAATCTAATCAAGATATATATTGTCATGAAATTTTGCAAGAAGTTTTCATGGCATACTAAAAAACAAAACATTTCTCTCACTGAACTATCTCTCAAAACAAAAATATTTAAATCATTTTTTTTTAGATATTTAGGATATATGATTTATTGTTTTTAGTTTTACAATAATCACAATATCTAGAGTTTTACTTAAGGCGGCCGGCCATACATGATCACTCTAGTTGTCCAATCATTTATTAGGATGATAGCCAAAAATTCTATCATTCATGAAAGGCCAGGTCTAGTTTCCGGTCTTCATAAATTTTTACTTATTTGCACTTAGCTGATTTTCTTCAATTTTGGTAAAAATGGTTCTTGAATTCATAAGAAAAGTAGCAGATTTGTATTCCTCAATTCCTTCTTCTTCCTCGAACTCTTGTGTGCCTTTAAGCATGGGGTTACAGTCCCAGTCCATCAAGCCGACTGGTTTCTGTCCCTGATTAGTCTTTTCATCTTCAGAATGATGCGTCCCCTTACTGTTCCAGTTTTCCAATGTAATCCAAGGACATGGCAACTGAGTCAGCCACGAGGGCGTCTGGCTTCCAAGTACTGGCATTTCTGGTATCGTCTATTCTTCAGACATTTTCGTACCATTTTAGTTTGCCCCTCTTGCATGATTTGACACCCAAATTCTACAGAATTCTGATATTTCTGATACAGTCTCTCCTGGTCTTACAAAATATTCTTCGGAGGTGTCTCACTTCAGCTGATGTATAATAACTAATAATAATAATAACTGTAGCATGTATAATACAAACGAAACAGAAGATCTCTATCACTTTCTGGCTATTTGTCCGATACTCTCTGAATTTAGAATTAAATGGTTAAAATCTAGACATTTATCTCGGGATCAAGTAATAGATTTATTAAATGGAAACAATTGTATAGTATTGGGAAAATTACTGCAAGACTGCTTTCTTCTATAGAATAATGATCACCAGAGAATTTAACAATTAACAAATTGGAGAATTTTGGTACCACTCTTTTTGTAATTAAAATATTAAACTTTAACATTGTAAATATAATTGTTCTTATTTTCTTATTAATTAATTGAATATAAATAGATTGAAAATATTATTTTGTAATTTATATTATGTAATAATGATAAATAAAAATACTTTTCTTCTTCTTCTACATAAATTCTTCATAGATGGCAATGTCACTATAAGGACGTTTTCTCAAGCAATAATGCTGATAATATATTGAATATATGTGAAACTCCTCTACAAGAATTTTATGAGATAATCTGAGAGGAAGGTCGAAAGTGCAATAGAAAAACTAAAGTATGGTAAGGCAACCGGTAGGGATGGTATTGTGCCAGAATTCATTAAATACGGGGGACCTGAACTGATGAAAGTACTACTGCCTCTTTCAGAAACTATTGACTGAAAAAGATATTCCAGAGGATTGGAAATATAATGTTACTAGTTGGCCCGTGCGAATAATTCACAGAAAATTTTGTTTAGTGAAGAAATAGCAAAACAATATGGAAATAAGTAAATTCTATGTATTATGTGAGGAAGGAATTAATATTTTTTCCTTGCTCGATTACAATATTCCATCATAGTTACGGACACAAAGCGTGCAATTCTAGCCATCAAAAAGAGAACACCGACAGCCCCACTGGCGAGATCTATTAAAATATCTGATGGAAAATAACAGAAAAGGGAAAGGAAATAATATTTATGTGGGTCCCTTCACACTGCGGAATTGTCGGAAATGAACAGGCAGACAAAGCAGCAAATATGGCGAGAAAGCTAGATAAAAATTCAACAGCTATAATTAACGAAATCCTGATAGAATATTTTATATAGCATATAAAAAAAAAATTGCGGGTAATGTGGAAGAATGTATGGCAACAAAAAGAAACCAAATTAAAAGGAATAGAAAGCCACTGTTCCAAATGGAAAACTAGTAACTGACTCTCCAGAAAAGAAGAGACAGTCCTCTGCCACTTAAGAATCGGCATTGTGAAGTTTCACATGCCAATTTACTAAGAGGACTAGACCCACTGACTTGCGAGAGCTGTAAGGTGCAAAGAACAGTCCAAAATATCATCCAAGACTGCCCAGTATTTAAGAATATAAGGAAAAATCTTGATATGGCTCAGAAAAGTATTTCAAACTTCCTGAGAACTGCTCTGTGTTTAATGGAGAGATGATCGCTATTAGAGAAGCTTTGACTTACATTGAGTCAACGGAGAGTAACAAATGGGTCATGGTTGCGGATGCAAAGCGTGCAATTCTAGCCATCAAAAAGAGAACACCAACAACACCAAAAGAAAACCTCGGTGACAATGAAAACGCTATGGAAAAAACCTTACAATTTTTAAAGATTATAAAATTCTGCAATAGAGTATAAATAGGAAGTGTTGCCAATGACCCTGCAGGGTAGAGGCAACAATAAAAATAAATAAATGTATTTCATTTTTTACATTCCTCAATTTGTATGAAATGAAATGAAAAAATAATTTTATTCTGAGACTACTGTTCCCTAAGAATAATAAAGTTACAAATTTATGGGTCTCAGTCTGACATAATAATAAAAATACAAACTAATTTACTATTAATTGTTATTTCAATTGTGCAATGGATTGAAGTTAAACATTGTATAGATGCAAGTAATTTTATATGTTAGGGGAAGTTTGAAAGTGGAGTAGGTGTTGCAACAGGAGTTGTTTTAAGGAATTTGTGGAGGAGGATTGACGCATGGAAGTAGGAAGTGAGTTCCATAAGGAAGCAGCACCAATGACGAAGGATTTGCTAAAGGAGGAAGTTTTATGGGAGGGAATGTCTATAGGTAGAGACCTAGTATTGAGAGAGTGGATAGAGGAGCGTAGAGTAATGAGTTCCAGGATGTAGGGAGGGTTTTTGGTTCTGAAGACTTGGAAAGGAAAACACCAAGGAGGAATTGTCGTCGGGAAGTAGGATGAAGCCACTTCAACTCGGTGTACCAGAGTGAAACATGTGAACGCCTGGGGATCCCAAAAATGTATCTTATGAAACAATTCATGAGTCTCTTTAGACTCATTTCCAGCCTGGCAGATAGCCCTCCATACACCAAACAGCCATAGTTGAAGTGGGGGAATACAAGGGAGGTTAGAAGGAGCTGTCTGGTTTTTAGAGGAATACAATCACGGAACCTTAGGAGTTGTTTAAGGGCAGTTATGGATTTTTGGGTAATCTGGGAGATATGGTTATTCCAGGAGAGGTTCTGGTCAAAGGTTACTCCCAGGTTTTTGACTGTTGGGAAAAAATGGATGGGATGGTTATTGAGGTTAAGTAGAGGAAAGTAAGGAAGGGAGCTAATGAGATGTCTGGACCCGATGATAATAGCCTTGGTTTTATCTGCATTCAGCTTTAATTCATTTATTTCTGCCCATCTGTTGATGCAGTCGATGTCCTCTTTTAGCCTTCGGGCAGCCTCAGGCATCTCTGCATATATATATACATCTTTTCCTATCTTATTCTACTTGTTTGTTTATACTTTACAATACTATTGCGAGTTCTCATCTAAAGTTCCAAAGTAACATATTTTCGACCAGATATGAATTTTTTTTTTGTTTAGTGTTGTTATTCTAAGGGGACATCGTCCCAGAAAAAAGTTTATTTTCTATTCTAAATAGTTTCAAACATGAAAAAATCTACTTTCATTTGAAGTAAATTTTGCCTAGTTTACAGTGAAGGAATTGTTGATTACTTGAATTAAATATTGTTTGTTATTGCTTTCCATTCAACAAAATACGTTACTCACTTAAAAAATCACATCTTGAATTTTCTACTTTTCTATTGGGAATTGGGCCATTGTATATATAAAATGTTTTGTAGATCTTGATGTCTGTTATCATTCCCATAAAAATTTCCCTCTATTTACGGGACATCCTGTTGTACAGGTAAGAGAAAGTAAAAAATTACATTTTCTTCGTGTCGATGTTTCGGCCTTTTTCAAAGCTGCTTATTCAAAAAAATTAGAGCAAAATGATGAATGATTAAATGTCTAAAATTTTCTGATTATCGAAATATATCATCATTATTTTATATATATATATTTTTTTAGGTACTTCACTGATAGCAATCCCCAACCAACTTCTCTTACTATTGTATTTAAATAATTTTATATTCTGGAGGGATATAATTTAAACCTTTTGGAATACTATAAAAACTTCCTGCCAAATTTCATGATGATATCTTGAATATATTTCTAAAGTTGTGAATGTATAATTAAGTCACGATTTTCGAGGCTTCAGAGAGCACTAATGTAAAAACACACAAAAGGAAAAAGTGTAGGAAAACTATAAATGGTAGAGCAAAGAATCTTTGAAGGTGTAAAAAAAATAAAATTGTACAAAAATATAGAAAAACAATAGAATTATATAGTTTTATCGAAATATGAGGAGGTCGGTGTCAAGACCAGATAATCTGACATGGAATGATCTGTCTACAAGGTATATTTTAATAAATTAATAAATTGTTTATAGCCTTTAAAACTTGTTATATAAACTTACTCATAACATCTAGACTGTGACTGTCATAGTGCAAAGGAAGAATAGAAGAGCCATGAGTTGTTTGGTTGCTAGACATTCCAAGAGTACTAAGATAAAGACTCTGTTTTTCTTGTCGTTTTTCGACCTCTCCCAACCTTGGATTGCTGTCAATGGCAACGAGCTGATCCATTAAAAGATCCTACAAAAAGTTATAAGAACTTAAATACATCAATCCTATCGATCTGCATTTAATAAGTGAAATTATTTCTATAATATATAAACCAGATATAATACTAATTTCTAAAATAAAACATCAACATGAGTCACTAATGGCTTTTACAATGATGATGCATTTTCATAAAAAGATTTCGTAACTTTATCTGGCATAATTGAATATACCAACTGGTTTTGTGGTATTGAAAAAAATTTGTTTTTCTCAAATTATTTTTCTACAAACTTCACCACATTACTCCACAAATTTTTACAGAACTTCAAGAATCTTGTATATGTAACTTCTTTTTATTTATTATTTATTTGCGAACCTTATTACAAAAGTAATAAAAATAAGTAACATTAAAAACAGAGGAAATATTGCAAGAATGAATATTCAAAGAGAATGTTTAATAAATAAAAATAAGAAAATAATTTTAAGTAGATTGATTTATATTTATATAGCATTATTTTGAGTATAGTCAAGTTAAAAGTCTAAAGCATAAAAGACATATATCTGCACATCTTAAAATAGGATCCAGAAGAAACGAGTTAATGTGAAGAGATCAACATTGAGAACAGTAAATTATAAGTTGGAATTTTAAAAAAAGTATATTATTTTGTTTTAATTTTATGTATAAAATGATAAAAAAAATCTGATATGCGCAACACACAACTTTCACTAACTGCTCTAAGAGGGTGGTCTGAAAAGTTTCCAACCTAACAAAAATACAAGACATTTTTCTAATTTTTTTTTTTATTTTTCAACATAGTCTCCTTGTAACCCTACACAGTTCTCCCAGTGATGCTCCCATCTCTGTAACCCGTCCAAAAAGTACTCAGCATTTTTATCTGCAAAATAATTGTTCACTAAGGTGATTGCCTCTTTATTTGATGAAAATTTCTGTCCTACGAGAGCAATTATTAGATAAGGAAACAAAAAGAAGTTGCTTGGGGCTAGATCTGGTGAGTAAGACGGATGGTCAAACAGTTCAAACCAGATTCGTGGATTTTCGCCATTTTGGTGTGTTGTCTTGGTGAAACAGGATTTTCTTTTTCTGCAAATGTGGCCGTTTTTTTTGCAAGTTCTGCCTTCAGCTTGTCAAGTAATGATGAGCAGTATGCTCCCGTAATGGTTTTTCCTTTTTGAAGATAGTCAATTAAAATAACTCTATGACTATACAAAGAAACAGTCGCCATCACTTTCCCAGCCGAGAAAACAGTATTTGCTTTTTATGGAGCTGGTTCCCCCATTGTGGTCCACTTTTAGGACTTTATTTTTGTTTCGGACCTATAATGGTTTATCCAAGTTTCAACTCTGATTTATAGAGCCTGAACTGCGGCAACAGAGCGTTAGAAATTTTCATTCGAACACATTTTTGGTATAACTTGAGCAATCGTGGCATACAAGGTGTGAACTGCTTTCTCATATCTAAATGTTGATTTAATATGTAACAAACACGTTCTTTTGACAGATTCATAATCTCTGCTATCTCTCTTACTTTAATTCGGAGGTCGTCTAGCACCATTTGGTGAACTTTGGCAATGTTTTCGTTGATAGTAGCAGTTTTTGGAGGACTCAAATAAACGGCCATGTTTAAAAAATTCAGCTGCCCAAAGTTTTACTGTGGTGAATGATGGTGCAGAGTCTCCATACACAGAATCCAAATTATCTTTGATTTGCATAGGCCTATTGCCTTTCAAAAACAAATATTTAATGACAGCTCGATACTCAATTTTGTCCATTGTCATAAAAAAAAGATTCACATCAACTCACTCAAACGACTGTAACATAAAAACTGCGGGACCAAAATGGCTGAAACTTTGGTGGTTAACTGCCAACAGATCAATAACGAAATTCACTTGCTTTTATTTACGAGTGCTAGTTTCTTCACGTTGCGGACGGAAATTTTTCAGACTGGCCTTGTACATGCATAGCTGTGTTCTCCGTTAGTATTGAATTCGGCAAGAATTTCCTCCCAAGCCTTCTTGTTTATGTATTTGAAACAGTATCTGTATCTTCATTTTCTATAATATCACCTTTTTCGAGAACTAGAGATCTGAGGAACTGTAACTCCTCTCCACAAAATCTATTTCATTTTATATCACTCATCTATTTAATAAGAATATTTGAACAGTCTAGTAACCTCCTTCACTTACTCGATGTTTAATCGATATTTTACCACATTTTTGCGCCATGGTTTAAGAAAAGAAGAGAGCAATTATATAGCATTATCTGGCTAACATCAAACTATTTCTATGAAGTGGAGTGAAGAAAATAACATTCTCAATAATTTTTTGCTTTTAACCTACCTCTTAAATACTCAGAAAATAGTTTGAACCAAGAAGTTTCATTCTACTAGAGTTTATTTAGGTAGAAGTATAATAATAACAAAAATAATAATTTTAGTAGTACAATAATAGCAAAGATAATAATAATAACATAGTAATTACATTTTTTATCAGTTAAATATAAGTTGTAGTGAATGGGAGGAATAAAGGAGAGCTTTGGGAACAATGAAGGGCCCTCTATCTTACCTAACTGTCCCCTATGATAAAAGGGAAATTGAAGGGGTGGACTCTGACCACCAGCATTTTATGGATGATAAGGGAATAGTGGAGTATAAGGGACAACTATGCATACCACCAATGGTGTTCTAAATATGTTTTATATGTTCTACTGCAGTGCTTATATCTTTTGTTTTGGTTTTTGATTTTTTAGAAAGTTTTACATCAATTATAGCAATGTTGTCTATTTTTGTAAGCCAATTATCATTGATAAGAAACAAAATTATGAAAGCCAATGTTAGGAATCCCTTTATTTTATTTATTTTCCTAAATGTTACATTGAAAGTAATCTTAATTTTGATGTTAAATAGTTTGGAAATAATAAACCATAGATACTTTCACTTAGGCATATATCTAATATATAGCAAGGATAAGTATTGCGATTGTGAAAACGTTTGAATCTGAGTTTTCAACGGAAATACATGTTTAGGGGTATCCTGAGTCGAAATAACGAAGTACCAAAAAATGGTCTGAGTTTTTGTATATTAGCAGTCTAGCTCAAAAACGAAAAGTCGTATGAAACTGATATTACATATTTAAGATAGGTATATATCTTAGATGTGACAGCAATTTTTTCCTTAAAATCGGCTAACCGGAAGTGCCACTTTATTTCAATGCTGAAACACATTTTTACAATTTTCTCAAAAATGGCTCCAACAATTCTAAACTTTGCAATGGAAAATAACAGTTTAATAACTAGTAGTCCTACAATCCATAATCATTTATATGTTAAATATTTAGACATACTTTCAAATCTTTCAAGACATATATGAGCCTTTCGGTTGACAGAATGACTAACTCCAATTTCATCATCCTTTATTATTAATTTTAGTGATGTTTCTGGTGGCAAAATTGATACCTTTATTCATAGTTCTATATTTCAACACTGCAAGCACCAAATCTGGAATCAACTTATTCACTGTCTGTATAGATATAACTTTTCCAATTAGAAATATCACTAAAATGACATTACTCAAAAATTTGAAATTGGAGTTAGTCATTCTGTCAACCTAAAGGCTCAGAGACTGAAGTTGTGTGGTTAATAAAAGCAGATGGAGTAATTAGATTTTTATTGCCTGCCGTCGATATAATAAATAGACTTGCTGTAGTTTTAATGGTCTTAATGATTTGTTATCTGTAAGCTTTAGTTCCGTTAAAAATGCACTTCAAAAATTTTATAATAGCCCAACATTGCCAGAAACGGCTCTAACAATTTTGATTTAAACTCATTATATCAGTGTATCATTAAGCAGTTTTAATATAATGTAGGTTTTATTCTCATTGATATTCCCTAACATGGCTTATACGGCTAATTTTCAATACTAGCTTCCTCTATTAAAGTACCTTTATTATTTTTTTTTTTAAATAATTAACTATCTCACATTAATCTTTGATATAAAAAATAGTTAAAAATAATTTGAAAGAATTTAATAATTAACTAAAGGAGAAATAAGAGATCTTAACGGATAATAGTTGTAATGGAAGAATCAAAGGTATACGAGCAAGCCTGGGTGTGCTTGGGCGCGCTCGTATTCCTTTACCCACAAGATTACAACAGGCTTCCATATGTAATGAGCTTAATATAATACGGACTCAGACAATAGTATGAACATATACATATGCAGTTTTCGTAAATGCTATTGTTGGTATTATTTAATATTTTATTGTATAGATTATAGCGATATAAAAATTAAAATTTATATATATATAAGGGTAATTAAACAAATAAAAATACCCACATTGAAATATAAATAAATATAGCATCTATAATTTTTACTTCCACTGCCCCTTGGTCTGAAAATGCTTATTTCTGCTAAGAAGAGGGTGCTAAGTGAAAGTTGTGTGATGCTCATGTCAGATTTTTTTTCTTCTTTTACATTACAAAAGCTTCTTTAGAACACACTTCTTTGATGTGTTCTTTTAATGAATTGTTAAGCGTCACAAAGTAGGAAACCATTTATTTGCTTCAGTTTCTTTTCTAATATTTATAATAATTTCCACTACCACATGGCACACTTAACATGAATTTTACTTAAATAATAATATAAAACTGTAAAACCATCCAAAATTAGTTCCACATGAAATTGTACCTACCATCCATACCACTATAATACCACCTAAAATTTATGAACTTGTATACTCCAAAAATTATACAATAATTCATTGTATCAATCCAACCTTTTTACTAAAATCTAATTAAATAATAATATCGAGTATTAAATGGGTGACCGTTGTATAATATTCAGGAAAGAGATGGTCCTTGGTGGCCATAAAAAAACTTAAAATAATGAACAACTATTTCATTTTAAGCCAATGTTTCGACTCAACAATGTAAGTCTTCTTCAGAGCTAGAGCTAACAAGATACAAAAGGCTATATAAAATTGTGGGAGTTACATGATATTTAGATAAAAATTATGAACAGAATGAATAAATCTATTCAAATTATAAAAAACAGTGTGAATCACTAGCGGATCCAGGATTTAATTTTGGAGGGGGCTTCAGCCCGAAAGTTTTTTTTTACATATGTACAATAATTATTTTGAAAAAAAAGAAAAAGAAACTACCTACATGAAATGGTGTTTAAGTGATTCTCGAAATCCTATTGAATGTAATTAAACGAACAACAATACTTTAAGAGATAGTGTTTTAATATTTTTTTCTATAAAATATGGTTATATTTTACAGTTTTGGGAGGGGGCTTCAGCCTAAAAGCCCCTGTTCTTTCATAGAATTCATAAAGCCCACAGATAATAAACAACACACATAATAGAATATTTAATTGAATAAATATTTTCTTTTATAAATTGAAATAAATTTTAAAAAGCAAATTAGCAACAGTAAAATATCTTTTAATAAATGACTTATATACATATATATATATATTATACCCTATGGATTACATCATGCTGCGTAGTATGATTAAATGTGGAGTTGATTTGATTTTCTATCCTATTGTGAGACAGCTGTGCTCCAGGGGCTTTACTATGAGAACTGTTGGAACCAATGCTACTGGTAGAAGCACATTCGGACATATCTCCACTGCCATTCTAGAGAAACACAACAATAATTACATTAATAGAACCCCTAAAATAGGAGAGATACCTTGGGTCATTTTTTTTTCAATGCTCCATAATGTTTAAAACGATAATGATTTTAAAAAGTTCGTAATAGCTGTAGTTGTCATGTATTGGAGATACTTTAATAATTTTTAAATTATTTTATCATAAAAAAAAATTGTGATAAACAATAAATGAACACTATTATATTAATTGTACCTTGGGCAATATTTGTTTTAACAGAATTTATAATTCTGATTGAATAATAAACATCAATAAAAAATTAAGTTAAAATTTGACGAGTCAGAATACATAAAAAAAATATTTTACTCATTGGTGCTTGTCAAAGGAGAAAAAGGAAAAAGATTTCATTATTCTTAGCCACCATATAATCTATTTCAGCCCTCTCAATAACATTTTGAATACTAATATCGCTTTCATTTGATATTCTTTTTATCATTACAAATGTATGATGAAAAATTTCCTACTATCATTTTTTTGCTAGCAGGCTAGTAAGAAATTTGTACTTTCAAGGTTCCTTTTGTTAGTCTTTTTTTTTTTTTTTTTTTTAAGGAAAATGCCTCATTTTACATATAAACAGAAATGATATAAATAAATGCATGGTACTTTTTTTGTAACATCTTTTGTTAAGTATGAGCTATTTCTTTTTATTTTTAATTACTTTATAGTAATATTTTTATTACTCTGGAAGAAAAGAAAAACTAATACTAAAATTATGTTTAATTTAAGTGATACTTAAAGGCATGTTAAAAAAAAAAAATATTATCGCAGGAACATTAATGCTTTTAGGGATAATTTATATATTTTTTTCTTCATATGTGCATTTAGTAACTCTATGTATAATAATATAAAAGAGAACATATTGTAATTCAAAATTGGAAGACATGAGAAAAAAAAAATATGCAAATGCATCACCACACTTAATTATTAAAATATTGGTATAATGTTACTGCATTATCATAGCTGAAGTAAATATTCTATCATTTCGATCAGACTAGTTGAATATAATATTGGACAAACTGAATATAATATACCTTGTGTATAGGCTTGTGTAAAGTTTATTAATAGCTAGGCTGGCATTATAATATTAATAATTAATAAAAATTTAATTGAGCTAGTAAGAGGTTTCAGCAGAATTATGAATATGACCCTAGGGTTAGTAAAATGCAGAGCAATTAACAACTGAAAGAAGCTGATAATATTGAATTATCCCACCAGGAAACGATGAAGCAACTGAGAGAATCTGATAAATGTTTAGGTTTAAAAGAGTTATGGAAGTTTAAGTACGAATCCCATGAAATACTTGTTAATGAGTTTGAACAACATGTCGAGCTACTTCCTTCTGAAAACATATCATTTTAATATTAGGCAATATTATAAAGGCAATTAACACTTGGATTATTCCTATATTTTCATGCATGTTTGGAGTGGAGTCCATGAGAAATGGACTGACACTAGTTTGAGTAATTTGAGGATCGAAACAGGAAATATATTTAAAAAATGTGGGAAAACTTATCATTTTTTTAACTTGTGTAAATGGGTTCAAACATGTAAAAACCAAAATTGCTGACGCGAGCAATCAAGGGCAAACTTTTAACAGCCAAAATAGCCATATTTTTTTTTTTCCACCTAAAGCTCCTAAATGATGCATCAAAGCAAAATATTTACTCATTAAGAAATTAAAGAACGTCAAATTATGCATCAAACAAGTACCTTAACTTAATAATTTGACTGAGTGGTATTATTCGTCAATGAATGACCCAAAATGGGGTGTAGAGTATGTGAGCTGGGATCTGAGCGATTTTTTCAGAGACTTGTTCACAGTACTTAGGGTGTGAACATATAAAAGTTCTGACGTCTAGGTGGTGAGCCGGGGAAGGGAAAAGGTCACAATTTTTGGGTTTTCACTTATATCTCGAACACAGTGGCACAGTGGAAACTTTTCTAATAAATGAAAGTATATAAAATTACCTAAAACTTTTTTTTCGAATTTACAACCTTTTTCAAGCTACACACTCGGAAAAAGTTGACTTTCTAAAAAAAAAAATCATTTTATCTCACATTTTTTAACAAACATTCCATCATATTGTCTAAGCTATTCATCAGCAAAACAAATTCATTTAAAAGGAGTTGTAGAGAGTTAAATTCTCTATTAAAATATACATATACATATGCAAATTAATCTCCAACCAGTGTACAGTTACAGCTATTTTAAATTTTTTTGTAGTATGTTGTCATTTTTATAAAAAGTTGTTTTTATTATATTCTTGATCCACAACTTGTGTTCGTTTGTCTAATACCATGTGTGGCCACACTTTAAATCCAGTTATTACATAAATTAGGGAAAAACCATGTTACTTGAAAAATTTAATATTGTATTGACTATAGCATTGTTTAAGTTTTAATCAATATTTCATATAAGTTTGTCAAAATTGATGAAAAAACATAGGAAACGAAATATATCAAGGTGACTGTTATCACCGAAACAATGCTCCGATATGAAATACCCGCCAAACTGCCTACAGTTTCACTGCTTCAGGAGGGGTCAGAAAGAGGCAGTCTAGATATTATGTCAACATATACTGCCAAGCAGTGCCAACAAAAGAGGTTCCTTTCTATTCCACTAAAGTAATGCTCCACCACCAGGGTTTCAGGGTACTCATATTAATAAACAACAGATCAGGTTGTATATTAATATTAATTTGCGTTACAGTCTTGTAACGCAGAATATTAACAAATTGAAAACTGCATGATATAGAAGTACCAAATATTACAAAAAAAAAAACTGCTTGATAGCAGAAATTGAGATTTAATCTAAAATAAATGCCAAAATTTTAACAAATTGTTAGTCCAAAAACCTACAGATGATTCACTACTCTTCTTATTTCTTTTCCGAACAGTAGGAAGTGCATTTGATAAAATATCCGCCAAGCTTGTACCCAATTCCAGTGGTGCAGCTAATTCTCTAGCTATGCTCATCTCCTCTGTAAAGAATAAATAAATCAATATATAGGAAAATGTATTCTGTACATGAATATTAGTAATATTTAGTTTTACATTACAATAAATATATTAGAACCTCAAATAAATTCTCGCTGTTTAATAATAGATGGCAGTATACCTACTATCTATTGGTAAGCTTAGACTTCAGTGTATGTAAGTTTACCAAAGTGTAAACAATGTTTTTTGCCGTAGTTCTAAAAATGTTGTTTTATGCCAACTAAAGAGTATTAGCAGGAAACTTTATTACACCCTTTATATTCAAAAGAAATCTGCTGCTGCGGGACATAGAATATTTGCATATCAGATACTAGCTGTTCTTGGAAAACCATTAGTAATAGATAACACAATGGTTTAAAAACTTTTGAAGGCATTAGGAATGACCCAGAAGCAAGGGCATTGGGTGCCGTATGAGTTGAAAGTTATTAAAAGATCATGGGATAACCCTGGCCATGCGTCAACATCATTCATTATACAGCTGTACGAACCACATGGTGAGTCTTAGCCTGCTCCAGGATTGATTCCCAGTTATTTTGTGTTTTGTGCTTCCACTTACGAATGCTAAGTATCGATAATAACACTGTCTTCCCATCAGAGCCTAAAGCGTCCAACCTTCCGTGTTCCAAATAGTTTCTCAAATAGGTATTAGATGGGATATCCTCTCGATTCAACCTATGGGACGTTTATATGAGACACATCGTGAGAAAATAAAGATAGTAACAATCCATCAATATTTTATTGATAATTACGAGAAAGAGTTTTCATTAAGTGATAGAAGTTTTGCTCCACTCAATGACCTAACATAAGAAGTTAAGAAGACCAACAAGAATGGCCAATGATAGTACTATAAGGTACATTCAACACCATATCCTTTGGGTTAAATGAAAAAGGAAATCATAGCTGTTGTCTAGATGAAGGCAGAAGTTTGAAAATTGATGCTTTATTTAAAGAAAGTAAAAAACATATTCTTTAAGTATTGCCCATCACTAAACATTACTTTTTTAAACGATTTTTTGGGAGCATAGGAATTTCATGTCTGAAAAACGACTTGTCTTATAAGGCTATCCAAGAATCTACTTATTTTTTGGTATCTTCATAAGAATGAAAGTGACCTCTTGTGATAGTTTTGTTTGGTTTGAGTAGCTCATAATAAATTAGGTAAAGTTTCTTATGGACACAGACTGTTTAGGTTATAAATGTCCTGCAGTTTTTTTTTTTTAATTTATCTTTCTTATTTTCAATTATTATTTCTATGTTGATACTGTTGTTACCCATTATTGCTTTTAATGTTTAAATTTTGAAAGTAACTGTCATATATCGGGAAATTTTCTAAAATGTGTCCAATTGTCAACTACAGGTTGCATGTCTCATATTCTGGTGGTCTGGTCTTTGCTATGAGTTGGTCGTGTAAATGATGGGATACTATTTTTCTAGTACTTGTTAAGCATTAAATCTAGTAATGGTTATTTTATTGCCCATAGTAAGTAACTAAATGCATTGGTTGTTGTTTGCAGATAGCAGATTTCTTCAATGTATAATAAATTATATTGCTGATTCCACCAAATGCAGAAGAAGCTTGAGAAGAGGTCAGGCTTATCCCAAGATTTTCTAAGCTTAGGATAATCATACTGTATCGATTTTCTATCCCTAGTCACAATACGATGCAAACAATTTTCCTTATCTGCCAGTGAAGTTGCATTTCACAAGTGAGAAAAGGCCGTTCAATTTCTTTCATTGCCATTGCTTTTGGATCATTCCTAATGCTTTTAAATGTTACAAAACTGTTGTGTTATTTACTAGTAGTTATTTTCCAGATTCAGCTAGCATCTAACATGGGTTTTTCATCAAGTAATTTCTCCAATTCTTCATCTTCAAACTCTTTTGGTGTGCCATAGTGTTCTTTATCTCCAAGATTAAAATATCAAATTTCTTTTTAATAAAAGAGTGCAATAAAATTGCTCACAAAAATGTTTACTCGGCACGAAACTTGACGGTTTAAAAAAAAAAAAAGTTTACACTATGGTGAACTACCATACACTGAAGTCAAAACTTATTGACAGTAGTTCTTGAAACATACCATCTGAATGAACACACTTAGTACAGGTGCTGCCATATTTTAGAAAACAGTGAGAGCTTGTAAGTTTTGCTATTGCTGTTGTTGGAAGGTCTTATGGGCTTTTATTTAGACATAAATTTTATTAAAAGCCTGTATACTCTGATATTTACTATATTTGGGGAATGTATTAGGACAATAAACTAATATAATTTTTTTTAGCCTTAACCATATTTTATATTTTATAAGTATAATAGTAACAAAAATGATAATAATAGCACAATAATAACATTTCGTATCAATTAAATATACGTTGTAGTTCTAAAATTCTAAAGAAAGTTTAGAGAATACGGAAGGTACCTTTATCTCCACAAACTATCCTCACATTGAAGAGCAAAAGAGCAAGGAATGACTATGCATAACACCCTATATCTTATCTTAAGTATGTGGTAAAAACAGAAACTAAACTGAAAATATAATTGATAAAATAAGAAATATGAGGTTTATTTTGTTTTATAAATAATTTTAGTTTTTGCACTTAAAGGCTTTTGCTAAGTGTCTGTTGATATTCTGTTCTGCTGTTTCATATTCCCCCATGGAATCCTATTTCAATAATTCTAAAATTCTCATATGATTCTGTAGGATGCTTTTCTGAGCTCAGAAGAACTAAGACTAAGGCAACTCATATTAAAGCATTACAATTTACTTTGCTTTAAATTATTTAATCAGAGTCCTAAAGAATTTTCCAATTCTCATTGAATATGTTATATACTGTCTCCAATATTTAGGCAGACCTAGATAGTGCCTTGGCAAGCCTGAATTTTGGGCTAAACGTGATGAAAACTCAGGCCATTATTATAGGTTCCAGTTCTCCTTCCTTCCTCCTTTAGTCATCAATGATCATCCCATCACATCCAGTTCCTCCGTTAAAAATCTAGGAATCACCATTGACGAAAACCTCTCCTGGAAACACTATATTGCCCTCATCTCCCAGAAGTCAATAGGTACCCTTAAGTTATTTCATCGCTCCTGTCACCTACGCCCACAACCTATCCGCAAGCTCCTTGTATCCTATTTTATTTTCCTCCTCTTTGACTACGGCTGTGTGATGTACGGAGGCATCCCGATGTTACTCGAGGGTAGATTGAAGCGACATGAACTCCTGTTTAAGATTTGTCTTTGGTTCTTCGAGGCGGTCACATGTATCCCGCACCTTTACTACAAGTTAAAGTGGCTCTTGCCTTCTTCCCGCCAACAATATTTCCTTGGATCTTTCCTATTCCAAATGATCAACACCCGACACCCTTCCTATACCTACAGTCTTCGACAGTTCAAACCTGTGGTCCACCCCAGAACCTGTGTTTCTGACCTTTATATCCCTTCCCATAGAACTAAGACATTTAAATATTCCTTTATCGCCCATCCACTGCCTTCTGGAATTCCTTGCCATCTGATATCTACCATGCCTCTTCCTTATTCAAATCTCAACCAATTCCTTCTCACATCCCAAAATGACGTACAATGAAATAAATATTATGAAACAAATTTTAATTGAGGCGAATGCTTGTTGAAACTGTTTTGAGTTTTAATTTTAAGAATCAATCCATAGTGCTTATAACATTTTGTTTTTATTTCCCCTGATTTCTCATTATTTTTTCATTTCAATAATGTTTGTTTTTTCAAAATGGTTTTACTTGTTTTATTTGTTTTAAAATATTTTCCCTGAGAATACTGTATATATTCTTTAATTTTGATTAATGTAATTTTTGGCCGGATGTGGTTATTTTTTGTTCATAATTTTTATTCTTAAGAGACCTCGTCCCAGAAATAAAGTTTATTGTCTATTCTATTCTATACAGGAGGGGAAGAGGGAATGTACTTACGATCAACATGAGCAAAGGCACAAAAAACTCCTCGGGGACAGTAGCCAGCAGTCTGCACATCATTACACTTAGTTGATTTATAAATTTCAGGATGAAATTGCTGTTCGGTTCTAGTATGACAATAACTGCAGTTATCTCCATTTTCACAGTTAGCTGGTTCTCCCCATTCATCTCCATGTTTTACATTAGGGCAAGGAGTTGATCTGTAAGGGAAAAACAATATGTTCTTTCTTTTTTTTTAAATTGTGTATTAAAGCATTGGCTTAGTAGATTGAAATATGATTATGTTAAAAAAAATAATTTAAAGAAAAAAAAATTAAATACCTTACCTATATTTATATTTCCTAGGACTTCGCCTTTTATCTCTACTATTGTGATATTGAGGACAAGCATAGCCTTGTCTACACAATCTGGGTGGTCTTTTGCATTGTTCAGTTTTATAACTTGATAAAACATATTTAGTATCTGGAAATGAAAAAAATAAAAAACAATATAGTTTAATAACAATTATTAATACATTATTGATTATAACAGGTGATCATAAAAAATAATTTCTTAAATTTTTCTTTCAAAGCTAAAAAACTTTGAAAACAGCGACTTAAGGAGTAGAAAAGAAACATTTTCGTTGACTATTCATCATAGCCCGTCTCTCCTATCAACAGATTAGCTACAGGACTATAAAAAATTTCTGCCCGGACAGACATTCATTGCACAGAATTTGGAAATGGAGGCTTTTACTGATGATTCAGAAAGTGAGGAAAGGTCTGAGACATCTGGTTCACACTATCGACAGAGTATTAATACCTGGACAGCAAATAATGATTTAAAATTGAATGTTGAGAAGACCAAAGCCATTCTCATCAGATCCAAGCATCTGATTAACATTAACCTCACTTCTTATTATCCACTACTCTACCTCAATGGGATACCCATACGTTTCCCACACTTCAGTAAGAAACCTTGGCGTAATGTTTGATCAACATCTGTCCTGGAATAATCACATTTCCCAAATTATCCAAAAGTCCATTGCAACCCTCATACAGTTCCTGAGATTCTGTGACTCTATGCCCCTTAAAATCCGTCAGCTCCTAGTTTCCTCTCTCATTTTCCCTCACTTTGATTATGGTTGCCATGTATACGGTGGACTATCTGGTGGGCTTGAGATCAGATTAAAGAGGCTAATGAGTTGTTTCATTAGATTTACACTTGGAGTCCCCAGGCGCTCCGAAGTCTCCAGTTGCTATGCCGAGTTGAAGTGGCTCTATCGAGTTTTCCGATGACAATATTTCCTAGGTGTATTCCTTTTCTGAACCTCTGCATCCAAAAAACCTTCTTACCTTCTTGATTTCTTTACTCCTTGTTCCTCTGTTCATTCATTCAACACAAGATCCCAATCCTCAAATTTGTTTATTCCTTCTCATAGAACTGTTTCCTTTAAAAAATCCTTCGTCATATATGCTACTTCATTTTGGAATCCCCTGCCAACTGAATATTATATGTAAAATAAAATTATTTTGTACTTTAGAGATGTCAGTTACACTATACCGATATCTTGCAGATATCTATGTATGTGTCATAATGCTTATCTGTACCTTTAAATTCATATGTCTACATCAAGGTCATATGTTTACTACAGTGTCTTTATTATTAATATTATAAAAAAATTATATGTTTCTTTATTTTAATATTAAGGTTAGAAAACTTTTTAAATTAATTTATTTTTAATTGTCTTTTAATTATACACAATCGCCAGATAATTGTCAGAGAAGACAACATCCACCACACGATGGGATTGCTGAATAGTGGAATGGGATCTGCGGAATCCAAATTGATGATGTGGGATAATGTGATTGGAATCTAGGATGGGGCAAAGGCGTTTTAAGATGAGTTTTTCTAGGATTTTGCTCATGATGGGTAAAAGAGAGATAGGACGGTAAGAGGATGGGTATTCTGGTGGTTTTTTGGGTTTGTGGATCATTTTAACAATAGATAGTTTCCAAGGATCAGGAAAATATGTGATCGCAGTACAGCATTATATATATATATAAATAAGGAACAGAATGGTTTTCCGAGGAAGCAGTTTTAGGATCTGGGATGTAATTAGGTCGTGTCCAGGAGCTTTTCAGGAAGGTAATCTTTGAATAATGTTGGATATTTCTGAAGGATGAAAGGCTTTAGGTGGAAGAGACATTTGGAGACGTGGAGGATGAGATTGGGGATTGTAAGATTGAGGTTTGCACTGGGAGATTTGAGGCGCCTGAATTTGAGGCTGCTTCTTCTTCATGGTGATTGGTGTTTTTCTTAAGTCCTGCTGAGGTTGATCAATTTCTTTTGAAGTAGACGCTAGCTGTGTATTTTGAGTAGACGTTTTTGGCAATTCTGAAAAATTTGACGGATTATCAATTTCAGGTAGATGGGTGAAACTTTCTTGGTTCAGTTTTATGCTTTTCAAGGCTATGTTCTGAGCTCTCTGCTTATAAAAATGTTTATAAATTATGCAATCCTTTGTAGTTTGCTGGATGTTCTTTACCACAATGGGCATATTTCGCAGGCAGGTCTCGAGGTCTCTGACAAGTGTCAGATGCGTGTGGGCCGGCACATTTCACGCACCTAGCCTGGTGAAGGCAATAGGTCTTTGTATGCCCCAAGTCTTGGCACTTAGTGCATAGTGCAAAGCTTATAATAGTGCATTGCACTATTATAGGCTTTTGTCTAGGCTCTTCAAATTTAATGGTGGAATATATAAGCCTCTTCACTTGAAAAATTTCGATGTTATTGCTGGCAGACTCTAAATCGATGAAAAATAGCGGTAAAGGATATTTTTCCGTTGGGTGTAGTAAGCATGATATGTGCCTAACATTGTGTCCTATTTCTTATAGACCACTTTTCTTATAAGGTACTTGAGTGTACTCCTCTCAACACCACCCGGTATGGCTTTTCTTGTCTCAATTGATAACAATGAAAATCATAGTTTTTGGACGTAAAGTAATTTATGAGTGTTTTGTAATTTTCTCGAGAGTTTGTGTTTATTTTGATATCATTAATTCTGGAGAAACAGCGAAAATTGGTCTGTCCAATCAGACCGGCAATTTCTTGACCAAATGTGATGAAGTTATCGATATTAGATATGAAAATAGGTGGCGGCTCGGGCTCAGAAAACTCTTGAGGCTCCGGAATCTTGTTTGGTATTTTATTAACGGGAACAGGATTATTGGTGTTAGTGGTGGTTGGTGCAGTTGGCTCTGATGTTATGGTAATTGATTTGCTTCTGGTTTGAGGTGGTATATTTTGTATAATTCGCTCAGCTGATTGTTTAGTTTTAGTAGATTTACTTTGTTCAGTTGACTTTTTAGATTCATTTTGCTCTGTTAACTGTTTAAGTTTAGCTGATTTATTTTTTTTCTAATTGGGTGAATTAGCTCCCAACCCAGGAGGAGTGTTTCGATGACGTTTTTGAAGTGTTCGTCTTTTTAAATACTGCGAATCTGTTTCGCTAACTTCAGAAAACGGCGTTTCGTCCTCCGAATCTTCACTTGAAGAACTCTTATCTAAATTCATATCTTCCATATTATGATAAGAGAGAGAATATATATATACTCCTAAATATGACAGTTAAAAAGATTGAAGATTACGAAATAAATTATTAAAAAAATAAACTATATACACAACTATAATCAGAAATAAAATAAAACATTTCTTAGAATAAATAATTAAATAAAAAAAAACAGCCTCTGGAAAAAAAAAAAAAAGTAAATATAATGTCTTTGGTTCAAACTGAAGACGAAGCTAGTAAACAGAGCCCCAGACCATGAACCTATGGGAATATGATAAGGCACGTAAGGGAATTAACGGCCACTCGACACCAATTTATCACTTGTTTATTGTTAATAAATAGTGACCTCACCTGCGTGTATGTCAACGTAAAAGTGTAAAACTGTTTATTAAGTGTTACACCACAACTTTGAATTTTGAGCACATTACAAAGCAACAAATACAGAGCAACATGAAAGTTATACTGCAATTGCGGCCATGACACTTGCTACTTTTCCCTTATCTAACCTCAAGATGTGTGATGGTTTCTTAGCTCTTGATTGTACTCTTGATATGGAGTTTATTTCGGTAACCTCTGATGTTTCCAGTGTGCGATGAGTCCATTTAGTCCTCTCTTGTAGCTCTGCTGTAGCTAAGACATCTATAAAAGTAGAGTCAACATCCCGGTGCCATTCTAAGAGCTTTTCCTGCCAATATTTGTTGTTGATCCCTAAAATTAATTGGTCCCATAATCGTTTATCCAGGGAGTCTCCAAATTTACACTTCTCTGCAAGTGATTTTAATTTATTAACGTAAACACTAATGGATACACTTTCCATTCTGTGACGTCTGTTGAAAATTACTCGCTCGCTGAGTGTGCAATATTTTTTTAAATAATACGAACGTAACATGATTAATACATTTTTCAAATAAATCTCACTAACCTTATTTGGCCTTAAGTGATCAAAAAGTATTTTGAAAGACTTGGGTCCTATATTGGTCAGCAAGAGATCTCTTTAACTCTCGTGTGACGAGACACCGCGAACTCGCAGTTTATTTGTAAATCATTAATTCATAATATTCCCAGTCTTCCTCTTGTGGATCAAACGAAGGAAATTTAAATTTTTATATTGCAACATTTTTGTTTTCTGTTATATCTTCCGTGTCTAGGATGTTTTGAAATTTGTATTAATGATTAGAAATTAGAAAGTTGTAGAAGGTAACAGAGAGTGGCAAAAAAAATTATAAATAATAATTTTTGAAAATTAATAATATTTAACGTAAATCACATGTTTTCAAAGGAATTAAATAAAATTTACTAACTAAATGTAAACTTTTAAAATATTTTTGAGTTTGAAAAAAGTATTTAAAATCCACCTAATCAAGGCAATGACATTATTTGAAAACTATTTCGTACTTGTACTATTTTGTACTTGCGTGAAAGAAGAAGTAAAATATAAAATAATTTCATGGCTGTATAAAGCATATTTATATAAAATTAAATACATTTACTGTAGTTTAATAGTTGTAGATCTGATATTATATTTAAATATTTAGGTATCTATTGTCTGTTTATTCCGAAAAATCATCATGTAACCTTAGGAAAATTAAAATAGTGAATAGTTTGATGAAATTTCCTTTTGTAATATTCCAAAAGTATCCACTTACAATTAGTGTAACAATTTGTTAACCTGTTTATGACAGACAATGCAAATCTCTTAATTTCTTTTTAGTAAACTTTGAAATAGAAAATAACAATTTAATAACTAATAGTCATACAATCCATAATCAACGGATCGTGCAATCTATAATCAACACATGATATAATAAATAAAGCTTTTGTTATTTTAATGGTGTTTATGATTTGTAAGCTGTAAGTTTTTAGCTTTAGCTCAGATAAAAAGGCAATTCAAAAATTTTATAATAGCTTAACG